TGGGGCAGTGGCCACTCATAGAGGATCAGACAGAAGGGTGCCACCCAAAGGGAGCTCCCCAGGCTTGGCCTAGTCCAAGACCCTCAAGGAGAACTTTCTAGATGTGAATACAAGATGGAGTTGGGTGGTTGCTGGACACAAGAAGGGCAGGTCCGAGGGGCTCAGTGGACTGTCCCCTCCATCCGGTCAGGAATGTGACAGCCACTGTCCATGGTGGCAGCAGAGACATCTGGAATGCTTTGTGTGGGTGCAGGGGCCACACTCACAGACCCCCTAAGGAGGACAGACAAGATCGGACGCTGACCACACCCAGAATACAACTGATGGAGTCCTCATCCAAGGGACCCTGATTCCATGAGCGTGGGTCAGGGGGCAACAGGGAATTTGAAGCTGTTGCAAGACTCAGAGAACAGGGGTGAAGCTCCAAGAGGGTCTCCTGATGCCATCTGGGAGGCCTGCTATCTGAAGGTTCAGAAGGCCTTGCTATGTGGCAGGTTTGGTGGAAGCTGAGGCTATCACGATAGCAAGGAGAGAGGCCAGGAGATGGTAGCCACTGAGCTTGGCATTGAAGTCTTGAGCCCACGTCCTCCTCCAGGTCTAGCCTGCTGCCATCGCAGGTAGGTCACCAATATGAAAGATCAAGCCCATATCTTCTCTCCAAAACCTGCCAGTCCCACAGAAATGCTTGCTGGTCAGTGACCTGGAACTCCAAGGTACAGAAATGAAGTTGCAAGTTCCTTGCAGAGGTTATACAGTCACACCAGAGTCCTGGGCCCTGGACCTTGAGGGCCCAGGCAGAGCCAGGAGGATCCAGATCTGACAGAGGCAAGATGTCCTCATGCTCATGGTCAGAGGAGCTGAGAGTAGAAGCAGAAGTGTCGCTCATTGTGCCTGTCACCTGCTTGCTACTTCCTGCAGCCTCTCACCATCCCTGGGGACAGGAACCTACCACCAAGAAGCTTCTCGGTAGTGAAAGCTGAGGATGTGACCAGTTGCCCGAGCTGTAGGATCTGCAGGCGTGTCCTCACACTAGGGTAGAGCAGAGGACCTAACAGGGTCTTTCCATCCAACCTCCTTGAGCACAATCTCCTCGTGGTGCCGTGGATCACTCACCATCCTGGGTTCTCAGCCCTTCTGTACCAAGGGTGCTGCCCTCTTCTGCTCAGAGTACCCTTGGGCTTCTTTCTTCACATGACAATGGAGCCACCAGCCAAAGCTCTGGCCCTCTTCTTCCATAGTCTTTCCTTCCTCATGGTCACCCACTCCCTAACTTGCTCTGCTCAAGACCCTAAGGTGCACCAAAAAGCCAGCCCACCCAGCTTCTTATGTCCTTCTCTGGCCACCTGCTAGCTGTGGCCCCTCCTGCTTCGGAGCTTAGCCTCTGTCTGCCTTGTCCTCTGAGGCCGTGGTCTGCCGGCACCAGATCTCTCCACTGTAGCAGTGATCTGCCCCATTGTAGCAGCAGGACATAAAGAAGCACAGACATCCAACACCTGTACCCCACTCCTGCCATCTCCATGCTGTTGGCACCATCTCAGTGGCCCTCAGGCTTGCCCCTGCCCTGCCTATACTGGGGAAGGGCTTCTGTGGCTGCCTCCTCTGAACACTTGTCTCCCAGAGCCACATAATTGGGAAGGTTGGCCCTTGCTTACAAGGACTGCCCCATCCCGCCTTACTGGCAATCTGAACTGCATGATGGTAGCCCCTTCCGGCCCTCTACAGGCCACGCTCCTGACCTGAAATGATCCCTGCGCCTCACTTGACAGCCACTTTCTACGGGTTCTGCGATAATGTGAAAACCTCCCATCAACAGAAGGCTTTTCCAAAAGTGCAGCCATCACATCTCATCTGTTATGGTGTGCTTAGGCCAGGCTGGGCCTGCATGAGATCCTCACCTACTAACCTCACAAGACTGAAGCTGCATCAGGCGCAGGGGTGTGGTCCTTCCTTTGACAGCCCGGAGCCTGACCGGAGATCTGATGGCCTTCAGAATGTAGAGTCAGTGCTCTGCATTCTCAAGACCAGATTTCCAGGGTGAGGATAAGGTTTGAAGAGAAGGTGGGCTTTGTCTGGACAGGCCATGGCACTCTGGGTGAGGTTTCCGGTAGGCAGCCATAGTAGAGACTGCAACTGCAGACCCGGGAGTCCTGGGGAGGATGCAGTTCTTCACACAGTCCCAGTGTGAAGAAGACAACCCCTGTTCACATGGCCGTGAAGATTGCATATGGCAGAGTCCCTGTTTTGCCTGGCTGAAGAGTGATCGAAGCTTCTCAAGCTGTGAGTCACCTGTAGGGGTAGGGAGTGGGGGAGGGCATTTACTGCAGATCTGCAGGCCTGGATACCAGACTGGGATATCTGTGACCTCTGTGGCCAACCCCAGGAGATCAAGGACAGAGACTTTGCCAGGGGCGGTGATGACCCATAGATGAGAAGAAAGCTCCAGCAGAGGTGGGAGGTGCTGAGCCTGGGAAGTGTGCCCCCACAACAGAGCAAGGCTTGAAGGTGGAGTCGGAATAGAAGCTGGCACCTTGAGTAACATTTCTCCTACTCACGTGACATGGGTGAGATGGGTGAGAAGAACGGAAGGCTGCTGACGGGATCAAGTCTCCACGTGACTCTCTGCCTTTGTTGGGGGAGTGGCAGAGCCCTCACTAGCACACTCCTAGCAGCGTTTTGAGTTCCACCCATTGACTCCAGCATTGGGGAACCGAGCTGGGACAGGCGGAGGAACAGGCTGTGTCTCCCAGCGACCGCAAAGGAAGGGAAGCAGCTCACACTTATACTGACAGAAACTGCCAGACAAAACGATCCTGTTCAGCAGAAACGTTAAGCGAAAGGCAGCAACCTGCACGATGCCACACACCCAACACAGAACCCAGGGGAGGCTGCACGAGGTGGTCAGGGCGGAGAATTGGGTTCTAAGTCAAGGCAGGGAGGGCCAACAGCTGCCAAGGCATTCCGCAAAACAAAGGGCCCTTGTGTAGTTGCAACAGACACATCATTAAACCTGCACGCACCAATAAGCAAGCGCAAAGAGAAGGCGGCGCAGATGCAAAGTGGCAGTGGGAGTCGCCCTCCTACCATCAGCTGCCTGGGAGCTGCAGGCTTTCGGCAGCCCTCCACCAGGCCACACTGGCCCCGAGTGGGTACTGAGCCTTTTGAAATGGGCATGCAACTGGGGACCACTTAGCTACAAGTTAAATGAAAAGCAAGTGGTAAAGCATGTGTGCCATCCCCCTTCCCCACTCACACCCTGACTCAAATCAGAGTCCAAACCCAAGAGCCCAGTGAGGACGGACGGAGCCCTTTGAAGGCTGACTGCCGGGCTTTACACTCTGTTAGGGCAGAAGAATCTGGCTTCGCTGGGTAAAATAAAAACAGTGTTGAGTGAATGTCACCTATTTCTCTTCACTTCTTAAGGTGGCTATTAGAAACCATAAGGTCATATGGGACACACATCACAGCTCTACTGATGACTGTCCCCAAATTAGGACACAGCGAGCCTCTGAGAGGACGCCCGTAAAAGTCCATAGGGTGGTGACAGAATGTTCTAGTGTGACCGCGGGCTTTATGCTTTAAACTTTCCTTAACGAGGAATAAGAGAGTCAAGAATCAAGAACTTAAACATGGGTCTAATTTTCACCTTTTGCTTTCAACACCTCAGGGAATCTGACACAAAGAAGATGATAGAAAGGTCCTCCTGGGAAACAAAGTACTGAATTTAGTCTGAAGAGGGCTCACCTCCCTGAAGCCTCGGGCTACAAATGCCTGTACATCAAACGTGACAATAAATTAAGCAGGCAATTAAGATTCAAGACACAAGAGACAAAACTCCTAAGGATGGAACTGGGAGGGAAAAAGCATGACAGATGCCAAGACACAGAAAACCATGTGCCTTAGCATGCTGCTATGTGGAAAAGCTAAAGAGTAACAATGACTGCTGGAAAAAAAAAAAAAAAAAAAAAAAAAACAGTGAAAAAAGAAAAATGTGTGTGTAAGATTAGGCGCATGTGGTTGTCTGTTCCATCCCAAAGTGCAGGCTCAAAATTGAGGGTGCCAACTGCATAGAAAGACTCTGGATAACCCTCCTCCCCTTAAATTCTAAGAAAAACTGACAAACAGAAAACACAAAAAGAAACAAACTAAAATTCTCCTTTTCTCAGCCTCCTCTTCCAGAAGTGCCAGGAGCTGATGGATTATCTGGTAATTATCTAAGTTTTGAGGTGGTCTATGTTGTTACCAATGTTCAAATATTTTGGGGCGCCCAGTCTCGGCTTGGTATGTAGTCCTGGTCCAAGGAAAAGGTACCCTCTCCTCTGTCATAAATGGCTGGACAATTACAAGCTGATGCTGCAGTCAAGCAAGACCCTGGCTCTACACCCGGTGAGACAGGGCTTTCTCAGCTGGGCAGGGATCCGTGAAGTAGCAGGCCAGATATGGCATGCCTGTCTCAACCATGTGGGACATCACCTTCTCCATGCTGCCTGTCTCAACCATATGGATACCACCTCCACAGTCAGACAGTCAGGGCTTGCACGGAGAGGGCCAGGCAGGGCATTAGTTTAAAAAAAAAAAAAAGGCACCAAGAGCCCTGGGTGAACAAATCCAGAGGAGCCGACTTCAGAACAAAGAAACAATAGTTGCTATTTTACTTGTCAACTTGTTACCATGGCTTTCCCTAGGTGGCCAGAGGCCCATGCATCGGGAGAGCAAAAGGGAGAATGTAAGCAGAGTTGCAACTTGTCCTAGGGCTGTCTGCAAGTGGCACTAGACACCATCAGATCTGACTTACGCAGGACAGCTAAGGACCTAAACAGGAGAGCACCTGCGCAGGCCTCTGTGGTGGTGGCGTCTGAAACCTGACCTGGGAATGACGACACAATGGGGAGCAGCCAATGGGGAGGCAGGTAATACAATCTCACCTGCAGCGCTGGCGGAGCAGTGTGCTCTCAGGGCAGAATCGACAGGGTGGGAGGGAAAAGAGCCACGCAAGGTTTCAGTAATTCAATAATTTATTCCTCTAAAAAAGTGTGTAAAAGTATATAGCTCTCATCCACAAGGTATATATGAATGACGTTTAAAATGGAGGCCTTTATCATTGTTTCTTTTTATCAAAGTCTTTAGTGTACTGAACCAGCGCTGTGCTGTAGTTCTTAAATGAACGTCACATATTTTTTTCTTTCCAATTGTTTGCTATATATAAAAGAAGCTCACTGCAAAATGCTTGAAGAAAAAAGGAAACAAACAAAAAATCAGAACTTCCCAGAAATGTACAGCTTTTACATTTTAAAAAAATGCTCTGAAATATACATACAGGCATGCCGGACAAGCCCTCCCTGCTCCCGCCCCACTTCCCCTTTTCAAACTATGGTAGGAGTTCTGATTTTTGCAGAATTTTCAAAATTAAAAATTAAAAAAAAATAAAATAACTTCTCACTCTGTAGCAAATCCAGGGCTTGTACATTTCAGATTAATTCTGTAAAAAACTCACAAGTAAAATAATGCATATTTAAGGGAAATATACAGACTTTTTCACACAGAAGTACATAATAAGATTTTTTAAAATCTATTGCCATTCATTTATTTTTGCACAAAAACATATAAATATGTCACCAGCTTTTCTTAACTTAAAAAACTTAAATAAAAGACACCAGATGAAAACTACCCTTTGCTGCCTTCTTTTAAAACTTTTTATAGCTTTTTTCTATTTTTTGTGGTTTTTTTTTTTCCTTTTTTCTTTTTCTGTGTAGAGTTGCGTTTCTAGGGAAGAAAAGCCCCTGCAGTAAAAACAGCCCGTTTAAAAAAAGAGAGAGCAAGAGCGAGCAAGAGAAAGAGAGAAAGAAAGAGAGATTCAAAGTTCTGATGAGTGCTGAGAAAAAGCAATCCCAAGTAGTAAAAGATTACAAATATCTACTTTACAGCCCGTCCCCACCGAGGTGACTTTATACAAGTTTACATCTCCATCATCTTACGTTCTTCAAAAGGCCTTGAGGATTTCCTCTCTGATAAGAAAAAATAGCACTGCGATATTTTAAGTCAATTTTACACTGTACACTTTAGATACAAATGGTTTGATATATCAGATTTTTTTAAGCTATACATTGGAAAGGCAACCCCTCCCCCAGTTGGTAGGACAGAGAAGAATCACCCATTTACAAGTTATTTCTCTGCTTTCACATTCCCACCACATTATTTAATATAATGTTTTAAACGTTAGATTATCTCAAGAAAAATACTTTTACAAAATCATATCAATTATTACATTTTTTTTCCTTTTCTTTGTTAATAACCAGGACATGAAAGTCTCTTGGAAGAACTTAGTTTGCAGGACTCTCCCATGGAAGCTGGATTGGTGCTGGGCCTGTCAGGAGGCTCTGGGAAGCCGGTCCACAGCCACCACCCACAGACAGAAGCATACGACATACGGGTTAGAAACAGGGTTTCAAAGTCAACCCTAAGGTCTGGGAGAGGGAGTCAAAAATACTTCAGTCAGCTGTTAATGCTTAAAAAGGCATTTTTTAAAAGTCCCACATAGAGGGTCAGCTTCAAGTACTGGTTTAGTGGCTGATTTGTACTATTTCTTTGAAACAAGATTCCTATAGTCCAGAAAAAATTCACCATGTTTGTTAACCGGTTTAATGAGCAAACACTTTGGGTGATATGCACGAGTCCCTTTTGATCTAATGAAAAGAGAGACCTGGCTTTCTGTAAGAATTCTCTTTAAAAAAAAAACAAAACAAAAAACAAAAAAACAACGGTACTTCCATGTGACTGTATAGAGAAGTGATTAAGGTCCTGGCATCCAGCTCAGGGCTGAGTCTGACCACCTTTGTGTACAAATGTAATCCAATGAGATGCGGGCCAGCAGCACAGCAGAACACCTCGAACCCAGGCTGTTGTGAAACTCTAGTGCTGGGTGGTTATTACTGTATCACTTTTCAGGCACGATCTCCTCAGTTTGTTCTCACTCCTTTTCTGGCTTCTAGGACAGAGGTATGTACTCAGAGAATCCTGTCGTGGGTCTCAGTGGGTTTCAACTACTGTACCTGGTCCTCAAGATTAGAAAAAAGAAAGTCGAAAAAAACCTAACAACAAAATTAAAAATAAATAAAATGCAGCTGTCTCCAGACCGCCTGTTTACACAGGTGTCAACCGAAGATCTCCTGATAGGCTGGGGAGGCGGAGACCCCACACTAAGTCCTGTACTAGAGCTGGCTCTTAGTTGTGACACATCCCAGGTTCCAAAGTCCGGGTGACCCACAGGCATCCACCATTGGCTAGAGGATTGCATCCAGAGGGCTAGACAGCCTGGTACTAAAGAGAGGCTGAGAGCAGGCTCTTGTGCAAAAGGACAGTGTCTCTTCTCTTTTCCCTCTTAAGACACCAAGTTGCCACTTCCTGGGTACTGCAGGCTGCACACATCACACACTGGCTCAAGTCACTGCTAATGGAAATTTCCAGGTCTTCGTGAGATACGTCAAGGAGTCACTGTGGCAATGAACACTGCAGAATGAGCATGTGCCTGCTCAGAAGGCGTCACAGTGCAGGGCTGTAGGGAGTGGTCTGAAAAAGGCCGGAATTTGCAGAGTAGAGCATTCTCCTTGGCTGAGGCAGAAGGACAAGCGCTTCCCAGTTAGAGCATGTTCATGATGGCATTGTACAACTGTGTGAGCACCACAAAGTGGACAGGAAGGCAGGAAGTACGGTCCTGGGTGGCTGGGTTGCACGTGAGCCAGGATAGGGCGTTGTACTGCTCCAGCACAAACCTGCCAGGGAGAGCACAGAAGTCAGGTCTGGGCCACTGGGCCTGGGGTGTATGAGGCCCATGCAGCCTACCTTGCACTCCTTCATACCAGCATGTCCACCTTGGGGGCGGCCACCAGGGTCATGAAGCCACTGAAGGAGACCGTTTCGTGTTGGCTAAATGCCAAAATGGCAATACTGAATTAAAGAGAACGTACCAAATATTTACCACTACTTGGCATGACCAGTTTCTCAATGTTATTCTATTGTGATCACTGGAAACAAAATGGGGGTGGGCAGGATCTCGCTATCTATTCCAGGTTGGCCTGAAACTCCTGGTCACAGCCTTAGCCACCTGGGCGCGGGGGTCCTGGGTATGCACCACAGGGCTTAACCCATTGCAAGGCCCCTGTTCTGTGTTTCCTCACAAACCCCAGAAGCCAAGGGCTTGCTGACAAGGCATCTGTCTACTTCCCATTTCCAAGCCCCAGTACGTCAGAGATCACTAGGAAGAGCTTGTTTCTCAAGGCACCTGATAGTTGTTTGCTTGTTGTTTTTTTTTTGTTTTTAAGATCCAGTCTTGGGTCTGGGGAGATGACTCAGTGAGTGACATGAGGAGTTGAGTGTATGTCCCAGAACTGTGTAAAGCAGGGTGCAACAGTACACATCTATAAGCCAACAGTGGGTCGGGGGAGCATGAGAGAAGGTGGCCAGGAGCTAACTGGCCAGCTGGCTCATGCAGCTGCTGGGCGCCTGTGTCAAGAATAAAGTTTTGGAAAGTGGTTGACCTCTGGCGTGTGCACCCACATGCACACACGTGTGTATCCACGGACAGCGTCTCTTGTAGCCCAGTCTGGACTCTGGTCTTGAACTCAGTATGCAGCTGAGGTTAACTTTGAACTCTCAGTTATTCTGCCTTCTCTCTCAAGTTCTGGGATTACGGGCATGCACCATATACCAGACCCATAGGATGAACATTTTATGTCCTTTTAAAAACAGTGAAAGAGAATCCAGTCTTTGGGGATACATTTCCCAACACAGAACTTATGTTCTAGTTTAGTGCATATATCTACCTATGACGGGGAAGGTTAAAAATGTTTTCAAAACAGTTCCTGGGCACTGTTTCCTAACTGTTCTTCCACCCAGGTTTGACACTTTCATCAGCTCTTTGGAATAGGGAATGAAGTGTCCTGTGTGTACTTTACTGTCTACTGAATGAAGTATACACTGCTTGTCCCAGCACAAACAGGAGTGGCAGCTCTCAAAGATGACTCAACACCACTGCTCTGTACAAACAGCAGAGTCCCTGTGAGCAGCGCCCTGCACTAGCACACTGAAGGAAACAAGGAGGAAGGAGCATCACTTTATGACAGACAGCAGTGCTGCCTCAGTCGGAAACTACCTTAAAACATCAGATGTGGTCTTGGAGTCCAGAGGATGTGGAGCCCGCTGAGAGTTCCTGGCAGGAAGGAGCTCATCTGTCTGTGCTACAGAGATGTGGTGATGGAGCGAGGCCTGTGGGAAGAACAAAGAGTGTTCACTTCCAAGTGCAGAACAGCACAGAGAAGGATGAGCCAGCTCCAGCCCCCCAGTCTTGCAGGGCCAGGCTGCTGTGCATCTGCTCAGCCTCTCCTATGACACAGCACTGTGTCCTAGAGCTACGCTCAAAGGCAGTGTCAGGGCCCCTCTTCCTGGTTTAACTCACTGTTTGGCTTCTTGCATTTAGTGTGTGTACACACCATGTGGGGGTCACACATGTGGGGGTCAGGAGACACCCTGAGTTGTTCTCCTGTAATCAGTTCTCCTCTTCTATCATGTGGGTCCCAGGACTTGGCGGCAAGTCCCCTGACCTACTGAGCCATCTCACCAGCACATCTTGCTTCTTCAACACATCAGTCAAGCACACAAAACAGTTATTCCTATGTAATGCTGTGTGCCCTGACACCAAAGCTGGAACAATGGCCACTATTTGCCACACTGTTTTGAGTATTTTCACCTTTGGAATATTTTAGAGCAAAACCAAATACTGAATCATTTCCCTTGTAAATTTAGGAGGTACCGCTTAACAGATAAGAAGAACAGTAAAAATATCACACACATTGAAAATGTGTATGTGATTCTTTGTATCAACAGGCTACTGTCAATCTTCACTGATATTTCTCTTCCTTCCTCCAGCTATGGGCCAAACTGGTGTGTAAGATGGAAACAACTGAGAAGTGTCAAAGGTTCTGCAGTCTGGATATGGCTGGTTTGTATTGTGACTCTCTAAAAACCTTCTACCTTTCAGATTCCTCACTGTTTGATCCAGAGGTTCGGTTAAGGGTGCACCTCCAGAGTGAGCAGGCAGGAACACTCCATGCAAAGACTGAACACGTCAGTCAGATAGCCCCGACTGTCTGCTGGCCCAGTGCAGCGATGTGAAAGAGACTACACCGTGCAAAAGGGACAGTCACTCTCTCTGCTCAGTCTTCAGGTGAGCAAGCTGCTCCACACCATCTTCCATGATCATCTGTGCCTGACATTTCTCAGCAGAGTCACTCGCTGTCTCCTGTAGGATCACACTGTGTTTGGCACCCCTGCTTTGGATTCGACCTTAATAGTCCTGGAGAGTTTCCTTGCTTTGGTGGGTGACAAAATGTTATCAGCTACACACTCAATATTTCTCATTTTGGGTCCAGAATCAGTCCGTTCTTCAAAGAGAAGCTTAGAAGTTTTGAGCAACAAATAATGATTAGAAACTACAAACATTGCAGCCAAGCTCTACAAAAGGAAGGACAACTCTAAGCCTACTGAGTCTAATTTTTAAAAATTACAGACTTTCATGGTATCACCCCAGGTCATTAGGAGCGGTGCTTCAGCTCCCAGGTGTTTGGGTTCCCGCTGCCTTGTCTCTTGGAGGTACCACAGCTCACAGGTTACTCCATGATCACCTCCACTCCACAGAACACTCACACATTGCTCGTCCTCACTGTGTCCAATGCTGCACTGTGTGGCGTGGCTGCCCAGAGTACACTTAGCTTTTCCATACGTCGTTTTGTTTGCTTGTTTTCTGTCAGTGTCGCTGTGCTGTTTAGACTTGTTTCGATGCACAGCTCATGTGATCCTCCCACCTCTTAGCTGGGCATGGGTGTGCACCAAGTACCTGTCATTTTTTACTTCTGCCAACATACAGGTGGCTGGAGGTGGGTGCTGTGCCACAGTGGGATACAGGGCTGCTATCACTCAGTTCCCTACCTTACGTGTCCCTTTCCCCGTAGCTCTGACACCAGGGTACACTCTCAAACCTGTGCCTCTTTGCCAAACTGCTGGTAGGAAATGGATTCCATTCTGGGCTCTTTCACACTTTGCAAGACTGGGGTCTTGTTTTAAAGCCTTAATATCTGGATCGATAGGTTCCAAAAGCCATACAAGGGGGACAAGCATAGACGTGAAAGGCTTGACTGACCCTGGCTCTGCTCTCTGGAGGACAGCGCCGGTACATAGCTGGGCAGGACTATGCAATGACTTAGTCTCCCAGCTGTCATACTGACTAGGAGAGAGTCAGGCTGAGCCACATGTAGCTCCCACACTTATGTCAGGGTCCTGACTGCCTCCCTAGGTTAGTGTAGACTGACTTCTTAACAGCAAGTTTGGGTCTCTCTCCCGAACTCCACTCTCCTGCAACTAAAATCTCCTCAAAGTATAAGTGACATCAGTCAAAAGAACAGAAAGACACTGTGGTACTTAACAGAAAATTTCTATCTGAAACCAAATAAAAACATCATTAACAGAATGATTTCTCTTAAAATTAAAAAAAAAAAAAATCAAACCAACCTTTAGAAAGAGAGGGCACTGGTTCCGGGCCTGGGGGCATGATGACCAAAACCACTGGGGGAGATTCTCAGCTTTGGCAGTTGATACAAAATACCCAAGGGCCAGTGGCTGCTGCTTGAGCTCCTCTGGGGCCTCCCTAGACAGAAGCCGCTCACCCTGGCTCTGAAAAACAAGGCCCAAAGCAAAATGAGCATCACGGGGAGCTAATCGTAGCTTCTGTCTTGACTGTGTACACTAGTGATAAGTCCCCTGCTTATAGCACCTCCCACCAAAGCCCCTGGTGGCTGAGCAATATGACATGAAATACACAAATCTCTGCAGTGAACTTGGGCATCTGACAAAACTATGGAACAGCCAAAGGTCCTGGCAACATGGATACATTGGTCCTAAGAGCACAAGCCAGCTGCTCTGGGGCTTTATGCCATAGCATATTGAGATGGAGATATCAGCATCCTTAGGTGCTCTTTCACCAACTGTCACTGGGACCCCTAGAGTACACCTGCTCCATCATCACCTACCCTGGATTAGAACTAAGCACCATGAGGGCAGCAGAGTCTGTAGGGCACCCCTCAGAGTCTGCTGGACCTTTCTTCATCAGGTACTTTCCACCTTTCAGTGGCTATCAAGGACTTAAAAGGTGCCTTTAGTACAAGTAACAGTAAGTGATCTGTTTGTTTTTTAATTCCTCCTATTTAGAGAAAGAAAACAATATTTATTTACTACATCAAATCCTATTAATTCTGATTCTTGATACACTGAAAAAGTAAAGTTATTCTGGCCAAAGGAAAAAAGCAAAGTCGGGACACAGTGGCACATGTACACACATCCATGTGCACAGGATGTTAAACGCAGGAGTTAACAAGGTTAGTGTAGAAGAATTAAGACTTCTAGGACAGCCTACTTGGGACCTGCTGTCAAACAAACAAAAGCCTTTGCTGTCACCTTGAACACATGGTCCTATGTAATGACTTAACTAAGGGTAAACAGTTTAGTAAAAGAAAATGCTAAAGTGCTCTTGCAGTCGCCAGGCTGAGGCTCAGGACTGAAAAAAAGCCACCTGACTAGTTTCAGAACAGAGCTGTTTAAACTGTTTAAATTGTAACTGTCTAATCATGGGTGTACTAGGAATGCTTGAATGCTTCTTCCCAAATTCCTATTCTCCAAAATGGATTGGAGAGCTATGCCCCACAGAGACCAGGATCTTTGGGAGAGAGACTCATGCAGTCAAAGCATGGCTGATGGTGAGGATGACATTCCCAAGGGTTGTAGTTGTTCTCAGCAACCTCATTCTAACAGTCCTTACCCGACTGTGCTGGAAGTGAGAGCCCACACCGATTCCAGAGGGAGAGCCTGGGGAGGGAACTGGGGAGGAGTTGGGAGAGGAATGGAGGTTCCCAGTCATCAGGATGCCAATGTCATTGTCCATATCGTCTGGGAATGGAAGATCTACAAACATATCATCTAGAGGGAAAAAAAAAACACAGGAAAGTTAAAAAATCACTGCCACCCCACTTTAGCATCCTGTATTTTGTTAATCTTCAACTGCTACAGGCATGTTTCGGGTACCTACCAGGCATCCTATCTATGTGTATGCAAGTGCTACAAGCTGTTACGGCGTTTTATCTCCAGTGACTTCCTAACTAAGTAAAAACACAGGGGAGAAATCACAACCACGGAAGAAAGCCCCCGGTTCCTGACAGCCTCTAAAGACTGATAAAAAGGAGAAAGGCAGTTATATAGTTGCAAGGTCAATGCTGGCACCAGCCAGCAGCAAGCAAAGGCCAGCCGGGTACATGATCAGTACCTATAGGGCCGGAAGGCTGACAACAGTAGAACAGGCAGGAGCCTACCCTGACATGGGAGAAGCACGTTCCAAAACAGATCAAAGCAGTCAGTGTTCATTACGGGGCGTTCTCCCTCTCACACTGCAAAAGTAGGGTACGCGTGCAGAAAATTTGGAAAGAAAAATGTAAACGTGAAAAACATCACGAAAACCCTGGTTTCCACAGACACTTGCCGTAACGCCTTCCATTTCCACATGATTGGGACTACAGCGAGGTCACATCATAGGCACATTTTGATATCCTTTCTCCTCCCCACTTAGCATGAATACATACTGGTAGATGTTAAAATTCCAAGAACCGCACAAAATTGAGTATTTTATGGTTTGTGACTATTTTTGCAATCCTGTAAAACAATTTATAAGAATTGCATTAAAGATTTCTATTAAGAATAATAGTCAGACATGGAGCTGTCTGCAGCCAACTGCATCCCAGGGTGAGCTAGGAAGGCGGCATCTTCACATGGCCATGACCTCCATACTCAGATCAGGACAGCTGTGTACTGGAGGGTCAGCGTGGTGGCTGGAGGGCGAGAGCAGATAGCTGTTATTCTACCTTTAACAGGAAGTGGGTTAAGTTCAGCTCTCTGGTCTTAGTGGTTAACTGTCAACTTGGCTGAGCCAGTAAGCAACAGCAGGAGTGGAGCAGGCTGGTATGTCTCCAGTGAGCATTATTAAACACTTAGTGGGGGAAGGTCTACCCTGCATGAAGGCAGTGACGGCTGTGGATGGAGGCCCAGATGCAAACAGCGGGAAAGGAGAGAATGAGCAGCTCGGGCTTCCCTGCTCCCTGAAGCTGCATGGACTGCTGGGTACTGACACAGCTGCTTTGCTGTGGACCGAAGCCAGGAGCCAAACCTTTTTTCAGGGATTGTCAGAGGCACAAAAGCAGTAACGGTGCACTACCGGGCAGTTCACACAGGCAGTTGTTAGACTTTGGCCTCCTCCCCGTGGTTCCTATGACACCACTAACAGCACACAACACGCTGCGGCGGCCACACCTGGCACTCTCACTCTGCCTTCTACGGTGCCTTCCACTCACCATTGTTGGGGCTGAACCCATCTTCGTTAGGATAGTTGGCTGGAGCCACTTGGATGGTTGACGATGTTGGGAACACCAAGATGTGGGTGCAGGAAGCATCCTGAGGTGTGTTCAGCTGAGACGACTGCATGTTCAGCGCGGTGCTCCGGCCAAACACAGAGCCCATTGTGACGGCATCTTTAAGAAGCAGAGCTGTGTCAGGATGCCTCTGCAGACTCACAGCCCCAGAATGAGGTGTCACTTGACACAAACACCTCAAGAGGCAGACAGTTAAGGCTGGGTCCAGATGCTTAAGTGTCTTTAAAGAACCTGACTGATAACACCAGTAATGACTGCCTGACCCTCACCTCACACCAGAAATGTGAAGATAAACCTGGACAGAGTCCACCAAATACACTGAAAGTTACTTACCTAACAAGTAAACTAAAACCCTAAAACTGACCTCCCAGCATTCTTTCCATCTGTGGCCTCACAATTTATAAAAGCACCGTCTAAACAACAGCAGCTAATGCTCTACCTAACCCTTCACAGTACTTGCCACATGGGGGCCTGTGCTAAAGCGCCATACATGTGTGTCAGTGGTTCAGCACACCCATTCTGAGGTAGCAGCAAGTATCTACTTTATAAATAAGGACAGAAGCATCTAAAAGGCGCATACTGCTGCAGCTGCTGCCGGCAACCAAGGGGAGCTGAGGTCTAAGGAGCAAACAGTCCAGCCACTGTCCTGCTCTGAAGCCTGTCCTCAGACACTCTCTTGACTTCACACAGGGAGGGAGTAGACAGGGTTCAAAACCACACTGTCTCTGAAATGTAAACAGATCCTAACAGGGTAGAGCTGCTTAGTGGCAGGCCGTGCTGCTTCTTCCCACAAGCCAGAGCATTTACAAAGCTTTCACGATGTCCCAACAGCCGAGAGTTCACTTATGCCTGGCCCTTTATTAAATGCTTTTCTTTTTAATTCACTACCCATCCTCAGTGACAGCAGAGCCCCTAAAGCCCTCCTGAGGTGCCACAATGGCATCTAGAGGCTTTCTGGAGGGGGACCCTATGCTAACAGGAGACAAGGGCTAGACAACACTCACTAGTTGCAGCTCTGCCAGCTTTCACTCATGCCCAGAACTTCATCTCTCTCCTAAGCTGTGGTCAACAAAGATAATTAAATCCTCTCCTAGGAAGATATCAGACGGTCCTATTTTCTAGGTCAAAACAAAAGCTTCTCTTTGAAATATAGTACTTATGTTCTACATTTATCTGTAGATTTAAGTTTGAATGGACTGGGCTGATAAAATACTATTAATGTAACTGACAAGAGACAATTTACCTGGCATCACTACAAAGGACCCCTGGGGCTCCATGGCAACCAGGCAGGCACTAAGGATAGAAGGAGAGTCTGCGGCAGAGATCCCACACATGCGGCACACATCCTTGAGCTGTTTGCTGATTGTCTGCAGTGAACATTCTCCAAGGAGGATACTCCAATCTGAAGCCAGACATCAGAAACACAGTCTTTAGAAGTTTACATGGCGTTTGTCAGTTTTGCTTGGAAATATAACTGTTGTGACCCAGTTCTAAAGGGAGCAAGGTTTTCCGTGTTTTGTCCCATCCTTTGTTACACAGCTTCAATCCCACTACATTAACACAGAAACAAAGGCCTGCTCTTCTGGAGGCCGTCATCCTGTCTATAGTATGCCTTGAGGGCCTGCAAGATCCTGACAGATTCAGGCTCTAAAATGCTTTCAATGCTGAGGTCTCTGTTGGTTGGGCTAGCTATTCTTTTTTCAGGGTCTGATTTTTCACTACCCCATCAGAACTTCACTCTGACAACTGCTCAAGCAGAAGCATTACGTCTCAGCACTGCTGATGGGGGTCTGTGACAGTAGCGCTGTGTCTAAGCACTGCTAAGTCCTGGTATACGCTCTTCCTGCATAACCTCTGCTGTCACATGGGGCTCAGCTGCTGGCGTCTCTACAGTCACACAGTTCTTCCTCCCAGGGCAAGCACACAGCAGTGTGCTTTATATTTCTAATTCACACTGAATTGGGAGAGAGAAAAGCGACTGAGAACGTGAAGAAAACCGTCTTCAAATGGGAGAAGTCAGACAGGTGGGAGCGCCACAGCACAGCAGGAAGGCCGTGTTCTTCCTGATACACACTGGCAGCAGGCACCAGGGTTACCCAGAAGCTGGGGGCTTCTACACGACCTCATTCAAGACCATGGCTCCTGGAGGAGGAGTCCCAGGTCAGCTGGGAGGTGAATACGCGGCTTGTGCTGTCTGTATGGCTCCTCCAGCCACACTTAGGCTCTTCCCTTAGGGGCAAGGAAGGAGAGTTCACGCCTCCCACAATCTTACGAGGGGGCCTTAATCATTTTCTAAAACGCCAACTGACAGACAACATGTTCACCTCCTGCTTCTTTTCTATTATTCTCCCAGCTTCCCAAGGGTTATGAATAGCTGAAAGCCTTTAAGAAAGAAGACTGACTAAAAAGCAGACTAGGGAGGAAGAGAGGCAATCTGATAGAAATGATAGGAGTAATCCCCTGATGTATTAACCTCCAGGCTATTGATACAAGACTCATTATAAGTGTGATGCTGCTTTAAAAATGAAAAAGCCCCATTTTTCCCAGTCCACAACATCAAGTGTGACTAGAAGAAATGCCCTCCCTTCTGTAGTGTGTGCATACATGGCTCTTACTCTGAAACTTTAAGTATAGACCTGCCCTACGGGCAGCAGCTTGCACGTGGGCTCTGTCTCTCTCAATGGTTTAATTCTAGGGATTCCATGGTTGCTGGCTGACACTTCCTATAGTCAAACAGTGCACACATTCTAAGAGCGGGGCTAGCATGAACTACAGTGTGGGGCTAAACCCTGCCTATTGCCTGTTTTGTAAATAGAACTCTGTCCATACAGGCACAGCCATTGGTATAGCTCTGTCTTACAGTTGTTGTGACTTCGGTAGAACTGATGAGCTGTAAAGTGAAATTGTACTCTTGGGCCTGGGCAAGGCCACTGCCCACTCGACAATGGTAACCACAGACCACTCTGTGATGCATGTCTTCTTCCTCCCTAATTAATTTTCCCTTAATTATTTTCCCCTTCCCTTTCCTCCTTCCAAACACCTCCATATACGCCTCCTTGCTCTCTTTCAAATTCATGGCTTCTTTTCTGTCTCTGTCTCAGTCTCTTTCTCTCTCTCTCTCTCTGTTTCTGTCTGTCTGTCTCTCTCAGTTTCTCTGTGTAGCCTTGGCTGCTCTGGACCAGGCTGGCCTCAAACTAACAGAGATTCATCTGCTTCTGCCTCTCAAATGCTAGATTACAGGCTTGGGCCACCGACCGCGCCCGGCTCATGGCCTCTTTTCCATTACTTATTGTTTCATGCATATGTGCATATTATGTACATATATAATCCTAAATAAAATCTGCTTGGTCTGTATAATGTTACTCATATGTGTGTCTTCTGGGATGATCATTTGGTGTCGGACAGTCAATTGCTGTGCTCTTTCCTAGGGGAGACGACTACTCCTCTCATCATTCCTTAGTTGCCTGAAGTTCTCTATGTATGACTGAGGCCTCCTGGTCTTTCCCCCATTGACTTTCATGTCTACTGCTGCTGTCCTTGTTCAGCTCACGTTCAGGCAGTCATAGTCATGAGACTTTAATCTGTAATTCCTGCAGCTAAGGATCAGGGAACACTGTGGAGGGTGGAAAGATTTAGTAGGCAGGATCGGGAGTTTACTGTGAGATGTGTCTCTCAGTGATGTCAGAAACTGCACCCCTATGCTATGTTTATTTAAGATCTCAGAGAACTTGCGGCAGATTCAATTCAGGCTCTCACACTTAAATAGCAAGCATTTCACACACGCCTTTCCAGCCGTAAAGGCTGTTCTTACATATGGCCTTAACAATCACCTATAATCTCTGACAGAAGTTGTCTTAATCCTAACTTATTCTTTTGACTGCCTTCATAAGCAATGTTATAAAAGTTAACTATCATTTTATACTAATGAGACGTTTCTCACTTTACATTTAAAATATTACTTGTATAAGTGATGGGGGTGGGGGCTACAGAGAAGTTTTTAAACTTCTGGTTTATCCCTTAGAAAGAAAACAATCGCTGTCATCAGTTTCAGCCTTTGGGACAACTTTAAGGTCCCTGCTTTGCTCAGCTCCTGCAATCAGTTCAGTCTCCTGTGCCCCTGCACCTCCTTCAGGGACTGCTCACCTTTAAGCTCCCCATGGCCAAGACGCCCCAGGCGGCCAATGACAACTCTCCAGGGCAAAGATGTCATCTGGACAATCCCCAGGCACCATTCCCATAACTTCTGCAGCCCAATCTTACGCGCAGACACTTTACTCTTCCGTGACCTGACAGAGAGAGAAACAGGAAGAGTCCTACACGAATGAGTTGTCACTTGGCAAAGCACACGTTTCTAAAGGACACATCCATGCTATCCCCATGGAGTTAACAGAAGTTAACATGAACAAGCAAGGCCTCTCACCTGCTTGGTAAAGCAATGTTCACAACACAGGTCTCCAGTAATTCCCCATGGAGGTCAGTGCAGGATGCCAAAAGCCAGCGCTGGTCATGAGACAGACAATAGCCCACAAAGAGCACATTGTATTTCTGGCTCGCCTCACCAAAGGTCTCTCCTGGCTCTGTCTGCTTGTCTTTGATTGGGGCCAATATAAAGGGAGGGGAATAAAGCTGGATTGGACTGGGCCGCTGAAATAAGAAAGTTCAGTATTAGCACAAAGCCAACCGAGAGAATATTTACAATAAAACCCACAGCAACACTAAGGGAAGAAAACAGGGAGTAAATTACAATAGGCTGCTCCTGTAGCCCCCTCTCTAAGACTAAACACATGGCTAGCAATGACAACTCAAGAGTGTAAAAGTACTATTTAAACACATGAACTATGAAACCCTGTGGCTTAGCTGTTTAAAACGACTGTCTAGAAAATGCTACAGCCATCAATGTTTGATGAAAAGAAATTACGATATTAGAAAGTAAGCTGACTTAATGTCAATAGACACTAGGAAAGTAGAAGTGGAAGCCACTTCGATTATGCACAGCCCCAGGACGGTCTGGAATCGGAGGTGGAAAACTTGAGGGACTGGCAAGATACAGAGGCACAGCTCTAGGCTGGAAAGCAGAAGAGGCATTCTGGTTTACACACTTCAGCAGAAGATGGCTTCTTTACAGATTTCTGCCTCTAAAACTCACCTCTGGGTTCTTGAGGGTCATCTCAATGCTGGCTGCAGGCCCAAAGCCAGTAAGTGATTTAATGTGGATCTGTGTAGGCAGGGGCCGCCTGCACTGGCAGTACACTGAAAACGCCATGGACTTCAAGTATTGAATATAGAAAACATGTTCATCCTTCATTGTCTGCAGCATGTACTGGCAAGGCACAATCTACAAGACACAAGCAACAGTCAGTTTGAAACCCCAAAACCAGAGAGCTGGAAAATGAGATGGCATGGGCTTATGGCTAGAGTGGGGAGAAGGAACCTTAACTCCATAACATGTAGATGTCAAACATGATCATACCCCAATTCCTCCCAGTGAAATAAAGTTGTACCTCAATGTCCCCCAGCTTTTTGAGAAGGGTAGTATCAGTATGTCGGTCTTCTTGAAGACTGTCCTGTCCCACTGCGGGTACAAATTCTCAACCTCCTGTCCCACTGGCCCTCATATGGTAAAACTTGCATCTTAGTTTATGCCCCATCTGTAGACTATCTGACATAGCATGCTAAAATGTTATCCAATCACATGGGATTTTAAGACAATGAAAGACTGTCAACAGTCTTTTCTGTTTACTTTGACTTCAATCCTTGCACTCTATAGGCAGCTTTCAACAAAATGATAAGCCATTTCAAGTGTACAAAACGTTTAAAAATGATTTTGGTCTAAAGCTAGCAAAAGTGCAGGGAAACAGGCATGCTCACTCACTGTTCAGAGAAACAAGAACAAGATTTTTATAAAGTGACATTTCAGTGTCTCTATTTAAGAATGCACTTTAAGAAAACCACACTAGCATGTTTACTAGGCTTCACTTACGCCAGTGGAAAGCCAAGTGCACACCAAACGCTGGCCCACATGAGAATGCTCAAAATTGTAACATGTGCAGAGCAATCTATAATGGGCTCAGTCTCAGCACTGGAGAGGCTGGGGTTTCGGAAACTGAAAGCCAGCCTCAGTGCCACAGTGCCTCTTTCAAGACAAGAAAGCGGTTTTTGTTGTTGGTTTGTTTGTTTTTGACAAGTGGCACAGGAACAGTGTTCACATGTTAACCAGAAAAAGAGAACCCTGACCTTGTAATAGTGAGTCGAGACAAGGGGCAGAAATACACTAGGATGGAAACGATGACTGAATATAAAGGACGGAGCCCTGAAGGAGCAATGCTCTTTCTAAAGGCTCATGGGCCTGCAAGCCAAAAGTCTCAGAACTACGTCTCACAGAAACAGCAGCATAAAGAACAAGCCTGTGGACAGCAACCTGGAGAATGAACGAGCTTCTCATATGCTCGGGTAAGTGATCCAGCATCTCCGTATAGCAGCGCATCAAGCTCAACAGCCAGAAGTTTCCGGAGCTGGAGTCCTCGTCTGCAGTGTAGGTGAAGGGGTCCACCATGTAAATGACGACAGCTGGAGGGTGGGCGTGGCTGTCTGCAGAGTCGGGCTCTGTGGGGATTCCTATTCTCTCCCTTTCTGTGACACTGGAGAGAGAGTCAGGTGTAAGGCTCTCACAGCACAGATAAAACTCTATCACACAAATCAATTACAGAGCACACAGAGGCCCCAGGAGACAATCTCAGATCCAATGCAACAGTGTATGTCACACATCAGGCCCAATGTCCCCAAGATGAGATGGGATATAAACAACAGCACAAAAACCAAAGTTGCTGTGATACCCACAACTTCTGGATCTTGGGTTTCAGACTTTCAGGTGACTGATGCTGCCTGGTAGAGCCTATGCAAATATCCTCAAATTCAAAACTCTTCAACTATGTCTGGTCCCAAGCATTTTAGAACGCGGTACTCAGCCCGTGTTACTCTTAAATGGGAGTTGTTTTTGTTTTTTGTTGTTTTTTTTTTTTGACTCATTTATTTTCTGTGTTAATATGGCACAAAGAGGTTTTATAGCAACACTAGTTAATGAACTCAATAATATGTACGTTAATTAAAAGTCCTATCTCTTAATGTACCCACAGAGTGACACTTGTCACTTTTTATTAGCAAGGATAAAAGAGCTCCCTCATAGATTCTGAGAGTCTTAAAAGTTGTGTATATGAGGGTAGGAGTGAAGGGAGAGTGTCCAAGCTGAATCTCCACTCTGCGTTGGTAAGAAACAAACACACCTGTCTTGTCCATCCTGTGAGGGCTGGGCGGAGCTCTGCCCAGGCTCAGTGTCTCCACAAGCCACTGGGGTTCGATCTGTGGAGCTGCCCCCGGCACTGGGATTCTGCCCCCCAACACCACCACTGAATCCTGAAGAAGAGGTAGTGTTCATCTGAGTGATGCCTGGAGCAGAGGCGGTCGAGGAGCCTGGTGGCCCAGAGGAGGCAGATGAACTACTTGCTGCAGGGTTTGCAGAGCTGGAGCTGGGATTGAATGCACTGCCAGCTGGGGGTGCTACTGAGCCTGAATTTGAAGGTAAAGACCCAGCATTCCCAGGCGTGGCTTGTCCCTGTGCTTCTGCTGGTGGGCTCTGGTGCTTAGGTGGCATCAACAGGCCACTGTCAAGCTGCAGAGTGGCTAAGTAAGGTGCTGAAAGAAGACAAAGATGATCTTAGTGACCCCTTAGCAGTGTCAACACTGCACACCTCCAGCATTGCTACCACATTCGAATATAAACTCCTATGCCTGCAAACGGCTAAATGTACATGAAGAAACTTGTCAACTCTACAATTGGCTACTGAGAACTCGATCCCTTAGCTGCACCTACAGTCATACAGTGCATCATGAATATTTGTCACCAATCAGACAGTGCACCATAGATATGAGCCCCCACAGTCATACAGTGCACCATGGATATGCAGCTTTACAAATTCTGAAGGTTTTCTTCAAGCTTAATCAGCTAATATCAAGTAATGCTGCAGTTTTCGAAAGTGCTATAAGCACATATAATCCCAGGAAGTGACTTTAAAAAATATTCATCACACAAAAATCAGAATTTAGTCAGGCATGGTGGCACACACCTTAGAGTCAACACTCAGAAGATGTAGGCAGACCTAGATAGTAAGTTCAGGTCAGCCAGGGCTACACAGAGAAAACCTGTCCCTCGCCCTCCTTGCCCCCAAAGACCTAACTACCCAGAACACAAGAAAACAAACACAGAGACTTTCCTACTTTATTTCACTAACTCCCCGTGACAAACGCTTTCCCATTTACCTAGGTGATGGCGGCAAACTTGAGCATAAAGTTTGAGTCTGGAATGATTGTCACTCTCCTCGCTGCTCCAAGACTGGTTAAACCACTCACTCACAAGCTCCTCTGTCAGCTTCTGTGCCACGGTCTTCCCCACACGCATGATCCCGTCACGGAGCACTTTGCAAATGGGCTTGTGCTGTCCCAGCCGACACATCTGACAGCACACAAGATGGTCACTGACAGCAGCTACCCTCCACAGCAGCAAGCACACCAGCATTAGCAGCTGGCCTTCCTAAAACCTCTCTGTCCTCGGTGAGAGGCTCTGAAGAGGCAGAGCTGCTACAGCAGCCTGTGTGTTGACTACTCCTGCAGGTCAGAGGCTAACAGGTACTCACAGGGGGCAGAGCAGAGAGCTCGCATAATCAACTGTAAGAAGCTTTCTGCTTGGCGGGGAAGGGAGCCCATGCCTCCCTTATTGTAGCTGATGAGGTGAAGGTTCATGTACTGGTTAGTTTTGATCAGTTTGACACAAACCTAGACCTGCCTGGGTACAAGGAGCCTCTATAGAGAAATTGCCTCTACCAGATTGGCTTGTGGGGCATTTTTCTGATTAATGATGGATGTGTGAGGGCCCAAGCCATGTTGGGACTGCATAAAAAGGCAGCTGAGCAAGCAGAAAAAGCAAGCCAGTGAGCAGCGTTCCCCCATGGCCTCTGCCTCAGTTGCTTTTGGTCAGTGCTTTACTACAGCAACAGAACAAAGACTAGGAGAGCTAAGCAACCCTACATTCCCAGAGTACACCTCCAAGAGCATGAGAGGGCTACCGCCCGTGGCTCCATAAGGCGGGAGTGGCACACCTAAACAGAGCCAGTGAGCCATGAAGCTTTGGATCAGGCTGAAGTGTCATTCAAGAGAAGGAAGAAGCTGTCTGTGATAGCTTAATTGTGACCTGACAGTGTTTTGTACCCTCAGACTGGCAATGGTCAGAAGTGACGGTACTCAGAGGTTTACTGATGCCAACGCATTTTATGTTAGCATCTCCTCAGCTCACCACTAGTCCATGTTCTGATAGTGAATCCTGTTCTAGAATATATCTGAGGTTAAGCTACATGTCTTATGTGCGAACACTTCTGCAGTGCCCAAGGTGCTCGAAAGCATTCTATGCACTTTAGCAAGTAACTGTTTTGTTTCACACTGCCAACACACATGGGACTACAAGTGCAAGGCCTCTTGCTTCAGCAGAAGACACATGTGCACCTGCCACTGAAAGACCGAGAGTCAGACTTTTCACAACTAAAGGAACTTACAAGCTAAAGATGGAAAACGATGTTCCTGGTTTTCATATCAATATGGTCACCATATTTTTAACCTACACCAAAGTTTTAGTATTACGATGAATATAGTGTTAAAACACAAGGAAAGTACGGTCCATTAGTTTTCAGCGCCACTTTCAGGAGCTCTTACAGGCAAGCTGTGTGCGCATGATGTACGTGCCTCCTGTGTTTACAGTTCCCACACACAACTGGCACATGCCCAGACTCTGAACTGGTAAGTGGAAAACCCTTGGATGGCATTAGGAGTGTGGTGAGGCTGGTCTTCTCAACCTAATAAAATACAAAGCCTTGGGGAAGGAATGCTTTTCCACAAACAAACAAATCAACCAACCAAAGATGCAAAACAACAGTGTAACTCTACATTTCATGCCTATTTGCAAACTTTCTTTAAGATCTATCTCCAGGTTTGTCCCTTCAGTTATAGCTAGACACAGGCCCCACATCAGGGAGGGAGTCCCACCACATGCTTACCTCATATACAGCACTCAAGTCCCTGAAGAAAGTTTTGGCTCCTTCGAGCAAGGCCTCATTTTCTGGACACACCACAATGTAAGCAACATCACGGTGGCCCCCATAGGGCTCCAAGAGCAGCCTCTCCCAAAAGGGCAAGGCAAAGGGTGAGATGGTCAAGAATTCCTTGTCGTAGCCCAACAGCAGAGTGGGGATGGGCAGTGGCTCAGGAGACTCCTCCGACCCTGCAATGATGTTGCTGTTAGAGAAGGTATGTGAGTCTTCTCCAGCGTTGGACAGCAGCATACTACCTGACGCTCTGACTCTGTGTCTGAACTAGGGAAGCCTATTGCATGCTCTAGGGGTGCTCCTGCAATCATCTCACTGAATGGGACCCAATGAAGAGCCTCACAGGAGTCAGAACATCTTAGAAAGGGCCAAGGGGAGCAGGGGTAGCAGACAGCAAGCGAGGTTTACTTCATAGACACACTGCTTCAGTGTGTTTCAGCACAGCAGGGATCCTGGCCATGAAGCAAATGAAGAAGCCCAGATGGACAGACACCATGGGCTGAGACAGAGCTCCTTTAGGGAACCTAATTGTGACAGAGGAAGAGGCTCCACATGACCAGGGAGGCTAGGTCTGGCTTAGCCATGGAAGCATAAAGGAAATTAGGAGAAGTCAAGGCTCACCGTAGGTCCCACGTCCTGCCATCTTATGGAACTGCTGCCAGGTAAGCGGTCCCTGCACATGCTGGATGTTCTCCCAGGTCCTGCCTGTGCGCTTCTTCTGGATAGCATCCTGTAGAAAGGGCTGCAGGGACAGCAGCATGCGCACCACATCTTGGGATGAAAGCATACTCGTGTCCAGCACTGTAGGAGGAGAGAAGAGCAGAGGACAAGGACATCAGGGCAGCACTCTCCCTTCTATGCACCATCCTGGGTCTCCATTTATAGAAGACTATCAACCTGGGAGTCAAGAGAAAAAGGTCTTCCAAATTATAGAAAACAATGGGTAACTTGCTAACAAGAGTAAGGAGTGAAGTGGGTTACAATGAAGTGTTCATTTGAAAAGGAGTAAGTAAAGAAGTCTCATTTTCCCAATCATATAAATCTATTCCCAGTATTTTTTTTTCAGAAGACAGAGAGATACAAAGGTTCCTCAGTTACCACTTAGCTCTCCTTTCACTTACGCACATCTATGTTTTGAGGATAAGGGAACAAAAAAGGAAGAGACCTAGGAAAGCTAGTAAAATAGTCTCACAAAACACCAAATGCTTTATAGAGAAAGAGGACCTGTACTACTCCCTAGATAGCTCTGAAATGTGCCTACTTCTTCCCACCCTAAAGCAAGCTACTATTTATTTTCTCTTTATTCTGTAACTGTTTCTTTTATTGAAATATCTTAATGTTGGGGCTGGAGAGATGGCTCAGCAGTTTCTTACTGTTATTGTTCTTGCAGGGGACTGGGGCTCAAGTCCCAGCACTGACATGGTGGCTCACACCATCTGTAATACAGTTCCAGGAGATCCCACACCCTCTTCTGACCTCTGTGGGCACCAGGCATGCATGTGGTGCGCAGACATACATGCAGGCAAAACACCCACACACATAAATCTAAATGAAAAAAAAACAAAAAACATTTGTTGTTGTATTTTTTAAAACAGGGTTTCTCTGTGTAGTCTTGGCTGTCGTGGTAGACTCACTTTGTAGAACAGGCTGGCCTGGAACTCACAGAGATGTGCCTGCCTCTGCTTCCTTGAGTGCTGGGATTACAGGTGTGCCCAGCTTGAAAAAATTTTATTACTTACATGCATGTGTGCCTGTATGTGGTACCAGCACAAGAGGGTACCACAGAGTCCAGACAAGGCCATCAAATCCCCTGGAGTTATAGTTACAGGCATTTATGAGTACCTTCTTGAGGGTGCTGGAAACTGAACGCAGGTCCTTTACATGGCAGTACAGGCCTTTTGGTCTGAGGCAGGGTCTCACTAGATAGCTTGGGCTAGCCTAGAACTTGCTATGTAGACCAGGGTGGCCTAAAATTCAGAGATCCCTCTGCTTTTTTCCCCCCAGCAAGCATGAGTACCCCCTTGTAACCACTGAGCTACCTCCCCAATCCCAACCCACTCATTTCTATTTTGTTTTCAGTTTCCCCAGATATGTCTTCAGTATTTTCTCATCCTAGTCCTACACTATGGTTAGAACACAGACTTTTGTTGTTTCCCATTTACCTACACAAATCTGATGTCAGTATCTTTTTAAAATCCCCCATCCCAAAAGACAAAGAGGAAGGACATCAGAAGAAGAAGAAAACAGGGAACAAGTTAGGAGCTTCCCACAGAGGGCCTTGAAAGGCTCTGCCCTACAGACTATCAAAGCAGATGTTGAGACTTATGGCCAAACTTTGGGCAGAATGCAGGGAATCTTATAAAAGAAGTGGGAAATAGTAAGATCTGGAGAGGACAGGAACTCCACAAGGAGAGCAACAGAACCAAAAAATTTGAGCACAGGGATCCTTCCTGAGACTCATACTCCAACCAAGTACCATGCATGGAGATAACCTAGAACCCCTGCACAGATGTAGCCCATGGCAGTTCAGTGTCCAAGTGGGTTCCATAGTAATGGGAACAGGGTCTGCTTCTGACATGAACTGACTGGCCTGCTCTTTGATCACCTCCCCATGATGGGGTAGCAGCCTTACCAGGCCACAGAGGAAGACAATGTAACCACTCCTGATGAGACCTAACAGAGTAGGATCAGAAGGAAGAAAAAAGACACCCTCCCCTACCAGTGGACTTGGGGAGGGACATGTGTGGAGAAGGGGGAAGGGAGGGAGGGATTGGGAGGAGAGAAGGGAGGGGACTAGAGGGGGGATACAAAGTAAATAATGTGTAATTAAAAATAAAATTAAAATTAAAAAAACCTTCTATGATTGATTATCTTTCTTGCTTTTTGGATAAAGCCTTCACTGGGCTGTGGCACTTATTTCTCAGCCCTTTCAGTTCTCTATGGGATAGGAGCTTCACAGAGCTCACTGCTACTGTGAAACCTTGGTGTAATTGCTGCTGCCTGTTCAAGGGAAAGTCCTGACTCCCCCAACATTGAGTGGGTCCCCCATGTCCCCACATGGGTGGGTCCTCTGCCCTGTGTTTCAATCACTTGTAATTTGCTTCAATGTGTTTCCTGTGCGATTATTTAATATGCAATGTTCACTCTCCCAAACAGATTACAAAGTCAAGAAAGGAGGGGGCCTTCTTCCCTGGTTACCTTTTATGCCTGGATGTGTCACAGAGTAGAAAGAAGGGAGCTACCTGCTCAGCATCTGTACATCCCAATTCCAAAAATGTTTGTCAACTGGAGGTAAGTTCCCTCTCTCCCCACAGTACTAGAAATGTGGGCTTCTCATATGCAAAACATAAGCTCTACCACTAAGCTAGACTGAGGGCTGATTGGCAATTTTAAGTGGCACAAACCCCTGGGATGTGCCCTGTAACCAGAGCAAAGTTAGATGTGGTCACTGTACCCAGTGATGCAGCACACTGAGAAACCAGAAAGACAAAATATTCCAGACATGTGTGACCAGTTTCAGGAAGAGACACCATGGCAACTGCATCCAGAAGGTACCTGTAGGCAGGAATGCTGAACAGGAGCTGCCAGCATGCACTGCCTGTTTGTGATTCAGTGTTCTGGCAAAGTTTCAGGGGGCAATTACTTCTCTCCAAAATTGTCAGCAGAAGACACCCCCACTCCTCAATGTAGGGGAAACAGCAGAACCCTCAGTTCCGGTCCCTTAGGATAAATCCTAGACTTTATGATGAGGTGAAGAAGGGTGTGGGTTATCATCTACAGCAAGATAACCTCTGACGTAAATCTGCATTCTGGGCCACCTACCGTTGCTGTGAGGCCAACAGTGCACTGTGGCACTTCTCACCAGAGCCTCATCCACTTTCCCGCCCGTGGGATTGTCCACGTACTGCCTCCCCTGCTCCAACGCATTGAAGCACTCTGTCCAGTAATCGTTGTTATCCGCCTGCACCCGGTCATAAGTCCAGCTCACACAGGGGAGTGCATGGCGACTGTTGGAGGAGATGTAGTCCAGAAAGCTGAGAGAAGCAAAGGGCTGTGTGTGCTGATTCTGGAGGAGGAGGAGGAGGCTTATGGGGGGCTCTGGGGCTTTTCGGGCCCCCTCTAACTGAGGAAGAAAAGTGGACTGACACATCATTAAGCGTCTCTCTGCAGCTTGACCAATATCGGAATTCTTCCCAAAAATATCCAGCTCATCTTCAAGGAAGAGCCCCGAGTTGTAACCAAGTTTCCTGTTCATGATCGCACTAAACCCACAGGTACAACGGTACTGGTCCTCCTTGGAGGAATCGGGGATGTACAGCCCAACATCTGCCCCTTTGATGTTCATGTTGCAAGCACAGATGCAACAGCTGTCAAAGTTCCGGTCCTTGAAGACATTCATCACGGAATCTGACAGAATCAGGGTGACATAGAGACTGTGGGCCTCAGGAATTGGCTGCATGGTGGCAGGCTCCACAGAGTTAAGGGGCCTTGTGGTAGAGGGGGTGGAGGCTGGTGACCCCTGATCGGTGCTGTCGTATTTCACAGATCCTTGGCCACTAGCAGTACCCCCACCTCTGGGAGTTCTTGGAGTCCTGGGGGTTCGTGGTGTGGGGACAGAGAATCGGGGAGTGGCTGGAGATGGGAGGACTCCAGCTCCACTGTTGCTGGCAGGAGCGGTGCTGTTCAGTGTCACAGGGGTGTTCATCTGTGGTGTGTTCAGATAGTCTGGATCTGCGAGGCTCCCAACACTAGGCACATTGCTGCAACAGAGATAAGGTAGCAGTGAGGAAGGGCAGCAGCCACAGAAGCCACCCGACACACCTCACCTCCGCCTGCACTGAGCAGCTGGGTGTACAGTTTTCTCTTCAAACACAAAAGAAAAAAGGTGGGGGTGAAAAAAGGAAGGGGAGAGAAGGGGCAGAAGCAAAGCAGGAGAACATGAACACACATATGCGCACACACATGCATACACACATACTCACTTGTAGCTGACCTTTGCTATTTTGTGGGGTTTTTCTTTTTCCCACCCTTTATTGCCACCTCCAACTCCCAGCTTTACTCCCTAACACTAGATAAGAGAGAAACAAGAATCGAGGAGAGAAAGATAGAGATCCCTGATTCTGATTTCTTTCCTTTTATTTCTTCTTTGACCCCAGCTACTAACAAACCACAACCAACCTTCCTAAATGATCAACAATCACCGGCATTGTCTCTGGGGGACCTGACATTTATGGACACTCTGAAAAGTTCCCAGAATTCCAAGTGTCATACAATCACAAAAATTATCTATAGCTGGCAAAATCCAAGCTTCTGCTAGAGCAGGGGCAAATCATAGTCAGCTGCTGTGGACACTCTAAAGCAGCCCTACATCCCTACCTGGGATTAAAATGAAAACACATTCATTTAACCTGGGATTAAAATGAAAGCACATTCTATGTGGTTTTGTTTTTGTTTTAAAGATTCATTCTTTTATACACTATTCTGCCTGCACATATGCATACATGAGGAGGGCTCCAGCTCCCACCATAGATGGCCATGAGCCACCATGTGGTTGCTAGGAACTGAACCCAGGACCCCCGGAAGAACAACCAGTGCTCCCAACCTCTGAGCCATCCCTCCAGTCCCATATTTCTGTGTTTTTTAAAGAAATCAAAATTCTAGAATTCTTAAAAATGTCACTGTTCATACACATACATACATACAATCCACACTACACAGTCCTCACCTTGACTTGCTGGGGGAACTGAGAGGAAAACTTACATTCTTTTCATAAGAAAATATGAGAGTGGGCATGGAGGAAATTCTCTTAAGTGGTGTAACAGCTGACAGTGCATGGGTGTGCAGACTAGACTAGCTGAAATGCTGCAGGGAAGTGCTTGCATTTACTCTGGAGCTTCACCGTTATTGTTTTGAAACTGACAGCCTGCCAGTATACTTTTCTTTGAGGATGTAATTCTTTAATGACACTAAAGAAGGTGCAACCAAATACACATTCAAATGTGGCACTTTCCTAATTCAAGAAGCAGCCCTAGCTAAGCTTGCATATTCCCAGCACTATGTGACTGTTGGCCCTGCTCCCTGTGCTGCATGGAGGTTCACTGGGAAGGATGCAGACTGTGGTCAAGAGGCACCAAGAGGTTTCTGTGGGTTCAGTCCCCTTCGTCTTTCAATGTTTTGTATTACATTCCTGAGATGGACAGGTTTGTTTGTTTGTTTGTTTGTTGTTTGTTTGTTTTAAATCTCATAAGCAGTGGCTTGGGGAGAGCAGCCAGGCAGAAAACAAGACAGTGTTTGTAGTGTTTGGATGTTCTACTATTATAAAACACATGCTCAACACATTCCCACAGACCTGGAGACAGTGCACAAGCTCACTCTGCACTCACAAGGCATCAGTGAGCGACAGTGACAGTCCTAATGGCTCTTTCGGCACGTGAACCCTGGGCTTATAATGACACTCCTCGGTAAGATAAATATCCATTCACGTGTACAAGTAATTGCCCTATAATCTTTAGAACCTATACCACTGGCCCAGGAGACTAAATCAGACAATATATAAACCAGGACATACAGGGGTTTCTTGGGGACAGACAAAAGCTGACACAGAAATTGAACAGTGCAATAAAGAACTATCTGCATGCTCATCAGACTCCTTTTAAGTTTTCTTGGTCAACAAAATTCTAAAATGACTCTGCAGTTTGAATTTAAAAAAAAAAAAAACATGACTAAAATCTAACTGAAAAATCTAAGTAATTCAATTATTCCCTAAGTAGAAAAATACTTCCTCTTATTTAGCAGCCTGATTTCCCTGTTTATTAAGAATGGCCTGAAAACCAACCCTGTGTCAGCAGAGAGACAGAAAAGCTACCGTGTCATACAGCAGGCTTGAAGCAACCGTCAGCAAGTGTGTGGAGCGTGACCACTGAGCCCAGGGTGGTGGACACTGGCGAGCACAGCGGGAACCTGACAGTGTGGAGCTGTGCTGTGCAGTAAGGCAGCTCCTGGACCCCAGCGCTAGACTTAATGAAGCAGAGCTAACAACCCATCAGCCACAAGGTAAGTGGCCAGCGTTGGCCCACGGCCACATTAGATGCTGTGGACACAAGGCACCTTCCTCGAATCATAGGGCTCTGCAGCACTGCCAGTCTAATCTCTGCTTGCCAAGAATGCATGCACTGGGTGGGAGCTGTGATGGGGAGGATGGCAGTTATCCCTGGGCATCGGGGCTGCAGGACCTCACTCAGCAGCTAGAGCCCAACTGTGCTTGGAGCAGCCCAGGCTAGACACTCGTAGGGCAATGCAGCACAGTTCTCTCCATTGCGGTCAGCAGCCATTGGCTGCTAGAGCTTTCCAAAAAGTTCTGGGTAGTCAGGATAGAATAATCCCACTGTAAAGAACAGAGGGTCCAGGTCCAGTCTCCTTCTGTCACATTTCCACCCCAGTTCCTCATTCTGACACTGACTATGTAAACTGCTGGGGTCTGTCACTGAATTACAGCTGATTATAGGGTACAGACATGTGGCCCACAGGTGAGTCCTGAGCCACAGATTTGTTTGACTGGCTCCTAAAACTTATCGTTGAATTAGCTGCTAACAATTTAAAGTAAGACAACAAAAAGTAAGCCCAGATCACCCCTCAGTCTCACTGCCTGACAACTGCTGCCGCTGAGAAGGGCTGGAGCTGCTCATCTCTCCAGTCCCTGCAGTGAGACCCAGCAGAGCATCAGCGCCTTGCACCCCCTGCTGATCTGTCCACTCATGCATGTGACTGGACACACATTTGTACTTGCAAGGATGATTTGCTTTACCTGATTAAGAAGTTATTTATTTCAGAGAAAGCAGAGTCTGCACTGCTGACATAAACACTATTTCTCTGGGCAGTACAGGATGTCCAAGTTGCCATAATATCTCCCCTTCACTTTCCCCAAGTCACATCTCAATTGACTGCTGATTTACCTAATTCTAAAGTGTCATTAAAAGTCCCACACAGAACCTGACAAAAGTCAAAGCTCCTCCTGTCACCAACAAATAGCAGCAACTCCAATCAAGTATAGACTCTAGAGTAAACACCAGCTTAGACTTACACGTAGCTCTCTAAAATAAATCTTAATTTGTCGATACTTAGGAAATTTCATTTAAAATGAACCCATGAAAATTTCCCATATAAGACAACATGGTCGAAAGCAGGAATGGCCAAGAAAGCAGTCTCCAAGGGTGAGCTACCGCGCCCTGTGACAAGTACTTAGAAGTGATAAGGTGGCATCATATACGGTAACTGGCTGAGCCCCACACGTACTTGTAACCATCTCTAATGGAAGCAGCTGCAGTGGGCATGGGCAGCTGTTCCATTTTAGGAGGAACTGCCCACGAGGGCCGGAACAGACAGGCGTCAGGTGTCTTCAGAGGCAGTAGGCAATGGCTCGGCAGCGTCTTTAGAGGAGCAAACATGGAGGACCCCACAAAAGGCTGGAATTGCGGCACTTTGTGCACGTATGAGAAGTCCTGTGACAATGAAATAGGGTTGGTTTAATGCTGGCAAACTGGAACCACCCACAGTTGCTTGGTATTTCATAAAACACAGGCACAAAATCAACTATAATTCAATAGTTCTCTACAATGATAAAAAAAAATTCTAATGTCAAAATTGTTAATGAAGCAAAGGTCATGGAGTGAATATGCTAGTGATGGGCCCCAGTTTCTTTCATTTTTTTAAAAAAAAAAAGATTTATTTATTATTCATTATATGTGTGTGGAGGGGGGGATACAGTCATGCCAGAAGAGGGTACCAGATGTCATTATAGATGGTTGTGAGCCACCATGTGGTTGCTGGAAATTGAACTCAAGACCTTTGGAAGAGCAGCCAGTGCTCCTAACCTCCGAGCCCTTTCTTCAGACCCTGTGCCCCAGTTTGAATGGTCCTTACGAGCCTGTACATGGTGCACATAACACTGCTTTGAAGGTCCTATGGGCGCCTACTGGGAAGCCACCCAGCCTCGGGGAAGTTCATGCACTGATTATTACCTTTATCTCCTCTGGCTTGGGACTTCCTAAGCCGTCTTCCACTTCCATCCTGAACTCTGTGAGGTGTGTGGGGACCATACTGACCACAGGACTCTCCATCATGCCCAAAGCAGTCACTGTCTCTGAACTCACTCCATCTTTATAATTCATCACAGGAGAAAATGCAGGATGCTGCTCCAATGATGGAGGGGTGGGGAACATCCTTTGCAAGTCTGCAACTGCTAAAAAAAAAATTAGAAGTGCATCTTAACAGCAAGACTCCTGAAAACTGTGACGTGCAGCCAAGCACAGCAGTGTCCACACAAGGTTAATGGAATGTCAGGACACATGCCACCCTCAGCCACCCACTCTCTTCCTGGTGCTGTATGACATGGGGTAATGCTGATGTAGTGACCAAGGTTAGCAGAGTGGGTAACTGTCTTTTCCAATAATCGATCCTCTTAAAAAAACGGAAGGAGATGATGAGTTAAACAGAAAGTAGAAACAATCCAAGTACACTGTGAAAAAGTCTATCTTCATTTTCAATTGTTTTTGAAATATTATAGAAAATAAAAATTATTTAGAGCCAGGATGGAGGTTTGTGTAACTGAATCACACAATTCAGCTCTTTTGGGGAAACAATTCCACAGAGTCTTTCCAGACTTATATTGAAGTTTTAGAGTTAGGGTTAACACTACCCAGACTCTAAAGATACTGTCAACGGGACAGGGCACACAGTTTAAGAAACACTCAGTGGCCAGAAAGCAGTTTATGGCCAGAGCTTTGCAAGCCTGTGCACATTCCTGAGCTCTGTCCCCAGCAAGGAGAAAGGGAAACCCATTTCCCATCATCTTCACAGTATCTGTATATCACAAACAGTTCACAAACTGGCTTGAGGTCCTGATTCTCAGAAGCATGTGCCTAATGCAGTGCAAGCTGTGGTTACAAGGTGTGGCCGCTAGGTGGTGTGATGTGCTTGGAACTGGGAGTTCCAAATGTGATTTTGTTTTTTTAAATCAAATTTGATGTCCCCACTTGCTCAGCTATTGGCTGTTGCCTTTTTTGACGCCCTAACATTTAGTTGAGCTGGTATGTGGCACCTAGCCCTTAAGCAGGAATTCATATGGAACAATAAACTTAATTATGCCATTGACTGCACTCTCATCAGGGTCCACACCCTCCAGGCAGAGCTCTGCTATGTCTGGGACACATCCTCCCTCAGGGCCTCACTGCCCACTAGTAGCAAGTCCCCCTTTGGATATGTAACTTTCAACAGGCATGCTTGCTTTCCGTTGGGACAAGGGAACTTCCAACAGCTTCACTACATAGAGGGAGCAAATAGACACCCTGAAGTGGGAGTCACAGGCAGGTGTGAGTGGCCCACCAGAGCCTTTCTCTCTACTTGCTGTCTCTACAGTAGGATTTCCAACTTAAACAGGCCTACAACTAGGAAGGCTAGCCAAGCCAACTATTGAAGACCATATATACAAGTTTATTAACTCTAAAGCAGGAGAAAGGACTCCACTCAAATCATTTTATTTTATTCCAAACAAAGGGTAAGATTACTGTAGGGTAAGGACTGACTTGAGAAACAGACACTGCACCTCTAATGTTTCCTCTAAAGAACAACAGCTTTGATTTTTAACATTTTTAACATGACGTTAAAGCATAATTTTCCTAGAATCACAGTAGTAATCTTCTGACTACAGCAAAGGTTTTACCTGAACAATGGCTCTGGAGGAGTGTCTATCTGGGAAGAGACAGGACCAGTGAGAGGAGGGGTGAACAAATAGGAAGGGCTGGAAGGGAAAGCTGAACAGGGAACAGTAAAACAGTATGTGTGTGTTTTCATAATGAAGCCCATTACCCTGTATATTAACTGTTAGCTGAATGGTGGCAAAGCCACCATTAATCCCAGCACTGATGAGGCCTTGGGAGGCAAGGACTCGCAGATCTCTGAGTTCAAGGCCATTTTGGTCTACACAGCTGTGTTCCAGAGCAACCAGAGCTATAAAGTGATACCCTTTCAAACAACAAACAAACAAACAATTACACAGGCGGGAGAGGTGGCTCAGCAGTTGAGAGCACTGGCTACTCTTGCAGAGGATCCAGGTTCAGTTCCCAGCACCCACATGGCCATTCACAAATGTCTGTAAATTCCAGCTCCAGGGGATCCAACACCTCTGGCGTCCAAAGATGCCTGTACACGTGTTCAAGCATGCACTCCCTCCTCACCCCCACTATTAAAAATAATAAAATGAAATCTTATTAAAAATCGAGATACAAAATAAATAGCTTTGAAACTTCTGTAAGAAACATGGTAAGTTTATTTTTGCTGAGGCTACCTGCCTTACTAATGCTACCTAATAAAGTCAGAGCCCCACGATTTCAAAGCCTCTGGCACCCTTCTCCTTTTCACAAAGACAAGACACAGTTTCAGCCGCCACAGGCCTTCTTTACGAAGTGTTCTCCACCATTCTCTCATCAGATACGGCTAAGGGAGAGACTCTACTGTCAATCCCCACCCACAGCATGGTAAGCATGCCTCACGCTGCACACTAATAGAGAATGAGGGTCCAGTGAGCAGGCCGCCACTGCATCTCAACACACAGCATGAGATCAGCACGGGGCTGACCACCCTCCAACTGGGACTTCACTGCAATGAAAACACTGCTCAGACACAAGCTCTCAGAGCAGATGCAGAGCGACTGTGTATGGGGGAGAAGCAGGAAGCCTGAGAATCAATCACCAGACCTCCAAACAGAGAACTGGCTGGTACAATGCTGTTCCTAGAAAAGGGGGTGGGCAACTACATGAAGGACAGAAGGGGCTGGCCCCTGCCATTCCTTCCAGCTGCCTTGCACCCTCCTCCACACCCAAAACCATTGGCTTCTTTCTCAGCATCCCTCTGCCTTAGGGCACAGAGCAGAAGCCCATGCACAGAATTAACCTGAATGGTCCAACTCTTTCATTTTTCTCTCAGACCCAGTCTTCAAAAAGATATGATTTCAAAGAAATTCATAGGCAACTCGTCTGCTCAGTGCATTGATCCTTCATTATTACACAAACAAAGTAGCAGTAAGAGATCTTTTTCTTTCACCTGTCTGCACTAGCCACAAGTGGCTACTGGGCATTCAGAACACAACAGAGCTGGACCAAGCTGAGACAAGCTGAAGATGTAAAGCACATGACTCCAGAGAGACCCCAAGGAAGTGCTCAATGACTTTTCATTCTTGGTTACATTAAAAATGGCATTTGACATATAAAGCTCAGTAAAAATCCATTAGCAATTACTTCCATGGAGTATGTGGCCGGAGCTTGTAGCTTCTTTGTACTCTGCTGGGTGGTGTCCTTGTGGCCATTATTTTTCATAGCTCCTCAGCACTCTGGAAAGCTGAGCAGAAATGCAAACATGCCAAGCTGCTTGTGCTGCTATTCTGAGGAGGGAACACTGTGTGTCTAGGTACTGTGTCTGTCTCTGTCCATCCATCCATCTATCCCTCCATCCCTCCATATTGCCCCCCCTCCTTTCCCCAGTACAGATTCACATAGGTCTTATATTGGATCTTTTTGGCTCTTTACTTCAGTATTATATTTTAACTCAAGTGAGTTAAAAATTTTACAGCCTGTACTTAAGCATCAAATTCTGAGTCCATTCTCTCTAAAACTCTCTCCCTTTGAGTAAAAATCAAACAGTAGCACACAGTCTAATGATGCTGCTGTAGGGGGCTGCAGTGAGTGGACCACCTTGGCTGCATCTTCAGACACTGCAATGTGTCCTGCTGTGTGCTCTCACACAAAGAAAGGGAAAGGACTAAATGGTTTAGCACATGTGAAAGTCCTCACCTGACCCACTCTACTCGCACATGTTTCTTTCACATGAAATCCCATGTTGGTAAAATTCTACAGTGTAGAGTAATAAAAAAAGAAAAATGTTTAATTTAAAAAAAAACTTAAAGCAACTGGCTGGCTATCATTATTCATTTCCGCCCATGTCATGCTTGAGAAAGCTTTGCTATTTTAAAAAGCTATGGATTTACTTAAATTGTCAAAATCCAGTCTCTGTACATGGTCCCACGTCTACATTTGAGTGAATCAGCACTACGTTTATAGGTTCATAAAACTTTTTGACTCATCTTATGACATGGTGGTTTTCCCCTCAATTTGTTCTCATTAACAGCTGAAGCCAGTGAGCACGAATTACAGGATGATTTGCAACAGGAGGTGTCTGCCTCACTGTCTGCAGAGCCACTCTGACTCTCTTCTCTGCGGGGCCTGAGCTTCCCTCAGGTAAAGGCCACACTGTTCTCTAATGTGCATGGTACTAACGTAAGTGACCTCAAACAAGAAACAGGAGTGCAAAGTGAATCTCGACCAACGTTCACTATCACAAGTCCACCACATTTTTGAAAGCGGAACCATTTTCTGCAATTTCCCATAGTGGCAATCTCTGATTAGTGCAGCCTGTAACCTACTAGAGAAGCAACCCCCAGCAGGTACACCTGCCCTCTTCGCCGTGGCGCCACTCTCAGTTTGAAAACAAAACAGCACTACTTCAAGTGAGGATAGTTTCTGTCTCCGGTCAGCTTCTTGCCTTCTCAGAAGCACTAACTTCTTAAGTTTGAATTTTCAGTGGCAACCATGTCAGCTCAGGCTCCTGAACCTACTTGGAGGGTAAGGGCCAGCAGCTCTTCCGTCCTTTCCAGGGGGCCGCTCCTCAGTCCCAACAGTAGGCATCTTGGATGAGCGCAACACAGGGGACACGGCCTGAGAACAAAGTGGTGCCATTAAAACACATCAGAGCCCATATCCACTGACCCTTAAAAAAATAAAGCAACAGGTCCTCACGCGACTCCCAGAACTACCTGCAGGCTGTGATGCCCGGAACACACCAAGGAGCTTCTCCAGGAGGAGGGAGAAGTGAGTTTTCAGGGGCATGGTGGGCAGACTGCACAGGCCCTCAGCCACGCTGCCTCCAGGCCGAACCTGTGCAGCTCTGCTGGCATGGTACCTGGCCGACTGTATCCCAGCAGTGGCTGGCTGTGATGCTGGCTCTCCTTCTCTGGGAGGAGGCAGCTAACATAGTGACCCTTTGCTCCCCAAAGCTATAGGTTTATGCGTTATCATTCCCACTTAACAATTAACCTTTATCTGCATAAAGGCAACTCCATCTAAGAACCGTAGAATGAACAGACAACTGACCAGTCATTCAAAACAAGGCAATTTCCTTATCAGGAAAGAGTGCCTTTAAGAACTCAGATGGGTTGTCACAAAATAAAGTATATCCAATTAAATTTAAAAAATAGACCTTACAGATATAATGCCTTTTATTTACACCTACATAATATACAGGTGAAATGTGCAATTCAATTCAAACACATCTGATTGTTCAAGCAGCAGCCTCCCACCTCCACTCACTAGGTAAGCTACTTTTATCAATAAAGTCTAGAGGAGAAATCAAAGAAGAATTCCTTATTTCAAAGAAATAAGAATTCAATTGAAAATGTTCAATCTCCTTTGTGTTTAATATTGCTTAAAATCTATTCTCCAAGGAGCCATTTCTTCATTAAGCCCAACAGTAATTTATAACTTGTATAGGGAATGAGGTCACGGGCCCAGAGGAGACAGTTCCATCACTACCAACCGTGACAGTAACAGTGCCAGCCCTCCACAACACCCGCCCTTCTCCTCCTGTTCTTCCTGCTCCTTCTACTTGGCTGATGTGATTCATTTTCCTCCCATGCTTTACTCTCATCACCACCAGAAGCTCCTAACATGGCCCTCTAGTCCCTCCACCCTAGCCAAGCTTATGCCCATCTTCCTGATAGTCAAAACAAGAGGGGAACTCTCCAAAGCCCAGACCATCAGCAAGGAAATGTAAGTCCTTTCTCTTAGCCATTGTTCACACCGCCATGTTCTTTTCTTCTAGGTACTAAGTATTTGAATTAAGGCTCCTGTGTTCTGATTCAAAAAATAACAAATAGGATTCCTGTTTTCTGTAATTCAGACTGATTAAAAAAAACAAAACAAAACAGAACAGAAACAGTGCACACGCTTCTCCCAGGTCCACACTCAGCAGAGTCCTGGAAGTCCTGAAAGGTGGGCAAGCTCCTCCTAAGGTCCTCCCTCTCTGGGGCCATCAGGAGCAGATGAGAAGGCCGATAGCCTGCCCCAGTGAGAAGCGGCTTCTCTCTGCTGTCCATTCAGGGCTCATTCCACACTTACCCAAGGCCCCACACTTCATGACCCCAGTCTTTGCCCTTTCAAGTCAAATCCATTTTTCAAGGCCATCATGACCTCAGCCTCATGTAGGCATGTGCAGCACTGAAGGTGCATAAGATCTGTTAATTAGCTACATTTGGGTTTAAAGTTAGAAATCTGATCCCTACTTAACCTGGAGCCTTAATTTAAACACTGCTGCCCTGCCTGCTCTGCACTTTCATGGTCAGCATTCTTAGAAACTGGTCTGCAGCTGAACTCATAGCGATAAATACATTTATACCTGTGTTACCTGAAGTTTGTGCTTCCAGCATAAATTTAGTAATTTAACCAGATATGTAAATTTGATAATTGCTTCAGTTACCTGTCACAAAGAAACTGATCATCAAATTATTTTAAAAGTTTATATAAAATAGACAGGAGAAAAAAGATAAATAAACTAAAAAAATAAGTTCTTTGAAAAGAGGGTGTGTATTATTCAGCCCTAGCGTCCCCAGAAATAGCAGGTGTTATAGTGTTTGCACAAGAAACAGAGATGAAGGGGAAGAGCACACGAACTTCTGGACTCTTAGCTCAGGTCATTTCCAAAGAGTTCTAATTCTTCACCACTGTAATCATGTGTCTACATTCTACCACAACACTGTGACTGCACAATACCTGCTCAGTTATTAGATGAAGAAAATTGTTTGCATTATTTGGAAAACCATATCTACAGAAATATATATAGCATATTTCTATAGTCCTGTAATAATTAGGAGGGTTTATTAAAATAAATATGAAAGAATTTAGTATTTTCTTTTAGCTAGGAAGAATAATGATGTAGAACAAACAAAAAGCACCAGTAAATAGTATTCAACGGTACTTGAATATAGGAGCCTTTTGAAACACATGTAGCTACTAAAACTAGAGTCCTGAGTCTAGGGCAGAACACTACAAAGAAACCCTGAAACCTGATGGGACCCCCGCGTGGTGGGTCTCCCATGTGCAGCTAGAGCAGACTCACCCCAAGCTCATCATCATCGGAGTTGTCAAAGATGTTGTCTAAGTCGTGCAGGGAAGGTGCCAAATCTGTCACCTGCGTCAGGCTCCCGGAGCCAGCTCTGCCAGCGGCATTGTCCTGCCGGACATCTGCAGGAAAGGAGGCAAGGACACAGAGTGAGCAGGCTCCTCAGCTGAGGGGGAGAGGGAAGGACATGGACTTGGACCTCAGTGAACAAGGTCTGCTGGGAATTTCCTCCCTATGTCCTACTTAAATTTAGACACAATTATTTCCAAGTATGCTTATCAGCTTTGAAACAAACCGAAAACAATCCACAAAACACATTCAAGTTGAGCTCAAATTACTGCTATAGCAATAAGAATATAATCTTAGGTTGAGAAGAATTTCCTTTGCATTTTACTTTAGCAACAATCCAAGTGAGTGAATAACAATGTACACACCTGTTTTGGTAGCAGAACTGAAAATAGACATGGCATTTTTCCCATCAGGCACCGGCGTGGAATGACCTGGTGTAGTGACATCCTTGGTACCAAATCCATCCTCTGACTGTGTAATAAATTCAGCCAAACAAAACACATGAACAGCAACCCAAAGTGTGGGAAATGAGGGAGAACACAAAGAATTAGCGCGTCAAATGGAACCTGTTATGAGCAGTGTGAGAAACCATGGTCTAAGCAACCAAAGGGATAAAGGCATGTCCTTGCTCTGCATTATACAGAACCAAGGACTACTCCCATTTCTCTCCGACCCTCTAGGTGTTCTCAGAGACTCATGTGCTGGTGTCACTTCATTAGAGACTTGTCCTGGTATCAATCGCTGTCTTAAGTAATAGTACAGTTGTTAAATGACAGACCAAGCCTCTGGATCTACACAGATCCTGTACACTGTCCCCTGGACTCTATCAGCCTCTCTGACTACCATACTTCCCTCTCTCTCTCTCCAGAACACCTCCTTAAATGGCTAAAGCCAGAAGGCACATCCAGTACTCACTATCATGGCAATGGAACCAGACCAGTTCACACTGACAGTCTGTGGGCAGTGCTGACATGGAGTCAGAGAAATACAGGCACAGCTCTCAGCACAGTGAACATAAGTACTCCATAAAGAGAGACACTGCACTTAACACTTTTTGCTTTACATGTTAGATACTTTGGCACAATATCTTAAAAGAAATAAGCAGGGAGCATAGGCCAACAATAATTAGCATATGAGAGGAGGCATGACAGGACAAGCTACAGCCTGGAAGATATGCAGCTTCCTTCACGTTCGGCTGACTTTGGAACACAGGTGAGCCATGACATAAGAAGGAACAAAACGCTGTTCCGTACAATAGTACCAAGAGCATGAGTATGAGGACAGAGCAACCAGGCAGGACTACCTCAGACATTCTGCCTCAGGAGTCTCCCACACACATTGAAGAAACAACAAAACCCGCAGCCTGCCGGACTCCCTCTACAGTCAATGGTACCTTGTTCTTCTTTAGGGGGTCCTTCTCCGTTCCCTGTTTGCATTTCTTATTTGCTGTGAAGATGTATTTTATGTCACCATCCTCAAAGGTGTATGGGTCATTGACTTCTCCTAACGTGTCTCCAGGCTGCTGTGACAGAGGTGACGGGTCGAGGACGGGGAGCAGCTGTACCTGAGGCTGCTCATCCTGCCAGGTTTTGAACCGCTTGTTAGGTTGTGCTAAGAGTCTAGAAGGAAAAAATATGTGACAATTTAAATAAGATAAGGTAAAATTATGTCTTTTTTCAAAGAGTATTTATGACTTTAAATTTTTATTATCTTCTTTGTGTATGTGTGTGCATGCACAGGCACCACCTGAAGGTCAGAGTCCCTGCATTCTCACTTTTGGAGATTAAAGTCAATGGTCAGGCTTGGACAGTGCTGATGCGGACTCAGCAGAGTACTCACAGTGAACACAGCACTTCAGAGACAGAGAACTCAGTCACCAGTCCCCATTCTAAGTGTGCTTGCCTGCTGAGCCAGCTCACCAGCACAGTATTTAGGATTTAAAAGAAAATTTAAACTGAACACTGAAAAAAAAGACCTAGTAAATCCCCAGTACCATGTTTTTGTTTTTCAAGATCTTAAGCATGATTAGGCAGAACTAAGGCAGCTGTGTCAGTCCATGCCCATACTCTTCACAAAACACAGGTCATCGGCACACAATTCCTGGAGCAGATTCCCAAGTGCACAGTTCTGGCTCAGTCAGCAACTCAGCACAAAGATGAGGCTGCAAGGGTGCTTATGGGAGGTCCCCTGCACCACGGGTTAGAATGATGAGTGGCTCAAGAGCTAAGTGTGCAATATGGGAAGTCTCTAAAGTTACATTCTTGACTAACAAGCAGTAGCCCCCATATAAATGAGTCCATACTATGTGTCCTAAAATGCCACAGCAAAACTTTTGCATGTCATGTATTTAAACACCACCACATTGCTAAGTCTCATAACGAATGGGGGTTTTGACTTTGAGATACAACCCGTGTACAGTCTACAAGAGGAAGGAAAGTCTGGTTTCATCTCTTCCTTGAAGACCTGGCAAAGAGAGAAGAGAGCATGATGTCCAGGGACCTACCCAACAGTCACCTCACCTCTGCAGTGCAGTGCTCTCTGGGTTCACATCCAGTTTGGTGTCAAATCTCTCCCCCTGAAGCTCTGGAGGCCGGAACTCAGCATCTTCACTGGGCGGGAGACGAAAACTCCGCCACCACTTATCTGATGACTCAGTATATGAGGGCCTAATCCCACTATATAAGGCTGTCTCGCTGACCTCTGCCATCAGAGGCAGTCTTTGGCCTACGAGGACAGTTCTGTCATCCAGAGTGGACAGCTGTTGAAGCTCTACCCCGTTTCCATAGAGGGCAGGGTTCACAGGGACAGAAGGTGGGTCCAAACTCTCTGCTTCCTGACCTCGTGGCTGAGGGCTGAGTGTGGGTGGCAGAGGGGAAATGGGGGAATGAGGAGAATCCATAGGATTCAGATTCATTTGCTTGCTTGTAGTTCTGGAAGGCACGGCCATTTGCTTATCATACTTCCGACTGCTCGGCACCTCTAAGGAGGCATCTATCCCTGCCAGCCCGAGCTTCTGTCCTGGTGCATCCTGCTCCATGCATAACTCTTCAGCCACAGAAGGCCTGTGGTGAAAGGGCACCAAGGGTCTCTTTTGCAACTTGTCTCCCTTTTCTTGTCTTTCTGCTGTTTTGTGCTTAGAAGAAGCAGGAGGTGGTAAGGATGAAGATGATGGTGGTCCTGCACTGAAGCCTGGCTGAGATCCTGGGGGAGGTCGGCTGGGTCCCACAGTACACCGTTTTAGAACTTTATGCCTACAGTGAGAGTTAAACTGAAGTTAGTATACACCCAGGTACAGATAACAAATGACTGCAGCGCCACCAAAGAAGTGTCTCTGGTGAGGGTCTAACTTCCTAGGCACATGCTGGATCACTGGATCACACATTTGAAGGGTCCTACAACTTAACTATGTTCACAAGCAGCAAATACAAGCCCCCAACAGGAAGCCACAAACCAGTCACATGTAAGGTCAAGCAGCAAAAAAGCAGACTTAACGCAGAATAGAAATCACTACCCCGCTAATCTCATATGGTGCTAATTTAAATAAGAGCTTCAAATATCGTCCTCACACTGCATCTTTCTCTCCAACATTAAATGACCAGAAAAAGAAAAAAAAATGCAGAAGTTCAATTTCTAGTTCTTAACATTCTAACTGTAATACACAATGGCTTAAATGACATGTAAAATTGTAAACTGAGAACAAAATCACTGTACTCCACCCTCCAAAGTATGAAACTAAGATAAATAAGATCACTCAACATGATACATACACTAATAATCCTTGCCTCTGACTCTACCTGGGGAAGAAATGTGAGTCTACTGTGAACTTTAGACATGTGACAATGGGATGGAGGTCAAAGGTTGGGAATCTGAACACACGCAAAAATGCACCTAAGCCCCATCCCACCCCAGAGAGGACACACATCTCGGCAAGCACAGGCATGAGGAACGGCTCAGTTAGAGCCACTAAATGATGCCAAGTTTACAGTGTAGCCAAGTTCCACAGCCGGTCAGCCAGCTTCCCCTTCTGTAAATCACTCCAAGGGAAGACTGCAAGTTGTCCTGTGGTGCAGCAGTGACTCCCTGAGGCCACCTGGGTGGTATTAAATTACTGCTGCACTGAGCTAAATGATGCCCTCGTGGGCAGTAAAATGGATTTGTGTGGCATAATGGGATGGTTTAGTGGGACAGCAGAATGGCCGCCCTGTTTCATTCAGCCATTAAATAGTGAGTACAGCATTCCATAGGTTTTGGCAATCCTACAGCAGATCATCAGCAAACACTCTGGTCAAACTCTTTGTTACTCTTAAAACAACAACAACAACAACAAACCTGACTAAATCAGGCTATGAAGCAAAGTATAGGCAGAGGTATGTTTTATGCACCAAGGGCACAGGAATCAGTGAACACCTCATCAGATCAAACCCTTTACATGCGCACAGTTCTGGACGTTCCCCAGGAGAGTTAGCTGCACTCGGCTTCTGGCAGGGTTCTTATGCAGACTCTTCAAAGAAAGGATCTGTGAAGGTGGTTCCTCCAGCCCCATAAATGACTCAACTGCATAATATATAAGAACAAGAATGATCTTGTTCTTGCACTGAGAGAGCATGGGCCATACTCCCAATTACCAAGGAGCCTAGCCGGACCAATGTGGAAGTGCAGCGGGGGGAGGGAGGGCAAAGTGTTCCAAAGTAGGAGGAAGAAACCTAAAGTAGAACCACACAGTGAAGGAACACTGGTGGCTCCAAAAAAAGATGACAGTAGACATCTCAGAGGAAGTGGCTGTGATGGACCAGATCGAGAAAAGCCAACAGGTGAAAACACCACCGGAGTGGGAAGGTCTGTGGGTAAACACTAAAGCTTAGGCCCAGGGTCTTGAGCATAAAAAAGTTACCAAAGTGCTCTATCACAAAGCCACATACCCACCACTAGGACATTTCACAAAGGCCTCCTGTGATGATATAAATAGATATGGGCCCCCCATAGATTCATGTGTTTGAATGCTTGGTCATAGGGAGTGGCACTATTAGGATATGTGGCCTTGTTGGAGGCTTTGAGGCCTCCTATGTTCAAGCTCCACCCAGTGTGGAACACAGTCTCTCTCCTTCTGCTGCCTTTAGATCAAGATGTACTTCTGGCTTCTCCAGCACCATGTCCGCCTAAATGTTGCCATGCTCCCTGCCATGATGATAAAGGACCTCTGAAACTGTAAGCCAGCACCACTTAAATGTCCTTTATAAGAGTTGCCTTGGCCATGGTGTCTCCTCACAGCAATGAAAACCTAACTAAGATACCCTCCAAGATTAAAGGACTAGAGCACAAGGTCTCCGGAGGCAAGTTAACACATAGAAGGCAGTGCAGCAGTGACCAGGAAAAGCCTTGGGAATAAGAATTTGGCTAAGAACTAGAGCAGCAATCCCAGAGCACAAAAAGTAAAGCATTGTTTATGTAATGTACAGAGTACATACATAGTAGCTGATTTTTTTAAATGTGATACTAATAAGTAAAAATCCAGATTATAGGAGGCTGGAGAGATGGCTCAGAAGTTAAGAGCACAGGCTACTCTTCCAGAGATCCTGAGTTCAATTCCTAGCAACCACATGGTGGCTCACAACCATCTATAATGAGTTCTAGTGCTCTTTTCTGGCCTGCAGCATACATGTGAGCAGAACACAGTCTACATAATAAATAAATAAATCTGTAAAAAATGCCCCAGAGGTTAAGAACACTGGTTGTCTTTCCAAAGGTCCTGAGTTCAATTCCCAGCAACCACATGGTGGCTCATGATCATCTATAGTGAGATCTGGTGTCCTCTTCTGGTGTGCAGACACCTATGTAGGCAGAATGATGTCCAAATAACAAATAAATAAATCTTTAAAAAAAAATAAATCTAGAATATAGAAAAGATCAGGAAAAAGAAGGCCTACCATGCATGGTTCCTGATAGCCAAGAGTCAAAAGTAAAATATGTACATATTCTGCTACTTCAAAGCATACTGGTCACAAGCCAGGAGGGAGAGGTGCATGGGCTCAGACAGAAAACCTAGTGAGCAAACAAGTCCTTCACAAAGCTCCTCCACAGCAAACCAACCTCAAGGATGACTGGCTGCGAGAACAGGGCCGCCCACTAAGACAGTGCTTGGTAAGAGCACAGGGGCTAGGGACACAGGAATAGGGACAGTACTACTCTATCTGAGTCAGTGGAAAGGGTTTGCATTCCCTTCCCCAAGTCAGTCCACTAACCCCAAATCAGTAACACCTGAGCTGAGATGATAACAGTTACCTTCTAACAGACCATCCTCATTCCTAGAAGGCCCATGAGAGCCATATCTATGCTTCAGAAGCTCTTGGCCCATGAGTGGAAAAGCAAGGCCTGCCCTAACCATCAGGTGAACTGGAAGATAAGATTTACCTCCCCTAGAAAACGTGAAGATCCATGGCAGTGAGAACCTATACTACCACACAGTGGTTGGTAAGACAAGGGGTGAAAGGGGAAGCATTTGGGGCCATGCAAACACCCTAGAGCCAAGCAACCTAGACAGCATTATTGTGTGACCTTGGTGCTCAGGGGGTGTTTGCAAACAACACCTCTAACAATAACAAAGATCCTCAATAGAAAGGGTATCAAGAGTCACTTCCTCAAAGTTCTACTGACTTCAGCCAACCAGTTTTCAGTAACAAACTCCAAATCATGACAATAAAATTGCCATCTGCACATGAGACAAGACAGATTATTTCCTTCCTTACTGAAGGAAGCTTCAAGTAAAGACTGAAATGACATGGCCTGAGTGGCCCGTGGCCAACCAACAGTGGACCATGCTCTCTCTGCGACTGCTGCTGCCTCTCCACACCCACCTGGAACAGGAACAGCCAACTCTTTGGGTTGGGTCTACAAAGTCCCAGGAAGCAGGACTGTGAGCAGGCTCTTCTTCCCGAGTGGGAGTTGACATCTGGTTCCTCCTAGAAAGGGTGAAAATGTGACTGTATATAAACATGAAATAATTCATTCCTCTATAGAGAAAGTCTTTTTCTTTTTAAAGGTGTGAATACTTTTTACATAGTAATGGACCCTGCTGAAACATTAGTCCAGAGCAAGTAAGAGGTACTTGCTCATCTGGCTTGTCTGTTATATGCACAGAAGCGCCGCGGTTCAAATGCTGCTGCTTAAGATCACCTTACATGTAGCATATATTCAGCAATGGAACAATATCCAGCACCACTCACTGTTGCTTCCTTTTAGAAGTCACTTCTGTCTGCATGTGCAAGGCCTGAGTTTAGTACCACATACTTATATGCACCCTTCCCCAAACACTGACATACAGAGAGAGACAGAGAGAGAGAGAGAGAGAGAGAGAGAGAGAGAGAGGGAGAGGGAGGAAAAGGGAGGGAGGGAGAGTGGGATAGAAAGAGAAAGGGGGTGAGACATGATATATACAAAGTCACCTAAAATTACATCAGATTTTTTAAAATGACTGTTTGAAAATATCTACAAATTACATATACTCTCTTACGTTGTTAAATCTTCAAACTACTACGTTACTTAGTACCACTTAAAGACAATACTCTAGCACTTTTTTTTTTTTTAAATTCTAGCCCTTTTAATGTGAACTAAAAAGAAGAAATCAAAACTATCTCCTACATGTTATTAGTAAGAAGCCAACAGAAACAAGAACAGAGGCAGTGCTCTGGGCCAGCTCCCTTCCCAGCAGCTGATGTCACAGATTCACTACGTGGCCCTATGGGAATCCTCCAGACACAGCCTGTTTCTACCTTCCTGTGTATCTCAGTTCCCTACTCTGTGCCAGTAAGAGAGGAATGTGATCTATCACAAACAGCAGAGGTGTGAGGCTACTCCTGAGTAAACACAGAAGATGGTGAAAAAGAAATTATCTTATTCTTCTGTTTTGTTTTGGTTGTTGCTGTTATTCGAGACAGGATTTTTCTGTATAGCCTTGGCTGTCCTGGATTCACTTTGTAGACCAGGCTGGTCTTGAACTCACAGAGATCCGCCTGCCTCTGCCTCCCCCAGAGTGGGGATTACAGGCATGGGTCACCATCCTTGAAAAAGAAATTATCTAGGCATTGAAGATAGATGTAAAAATATTTGTACCAATTATTCTGAAGGAAAAGATCTTTTCTAAGTGACTCGGGGCAGGCTTCAAGTACTTGACTATGATTTTCTGTACAATTACTTTAGAGTTTGTCTAGCATCTTCAGTGACCTATTCCAAACAGATTCATCTGAAAGCAAATATTTAACATCAATTTTCTAAAAGCTTGGTCCAAAAGACAAGATATTAAACCCACATTCAGAACTTTGAGCAGTACTTTCTTCAGAAGCACTTAAATGATTTCTAAGTGAGTAGTTATTAGCAACAGGAGTACCCATGAGACAGGCCGGAGAAGAGATCAGTGCTAATGAGTGCCTGCTCAGTCCCAGAGGACCTGAGCTTGGTTCCCAGCACCCATGCCTGGCAGCTAATAGTTGCTTATGACTCCATATCCTGGGGACCCAGCAGCTCTTCTGGCCTCCATAGGCACTGCTCTTTAAGATAATGTTATGAAATGTTAGGGAGACGATTGACAAACAGGTTGAGAACACTGGCTGTTCTTGCAGAGGACCTGAGGGTCTTGTTCCCAGCACTGATATGGCAGTTCACAACCATCCACAACTCCAGTTCCAAGGAGTCTGAGATCTTCTACCTCTGTGAGTACCAGGCATGCACAGACATGTAGACAAAATACCCATATACATAAAAGTAAAAACATACACATGTACATGTACAAAACACACACATGCACATGCACACAATGCGCAATAAAACAGGCAGAAAGCAATGGAGAAAGAAGAGCATCTCTAGATGTGCACTCATGGTGAAAACACAACGACAACACATGACAAGTGTCCAAGGAGCTTGTTTCCCTTTGTAACCGGGAACCATTCAGAAATCTGCACACAAAGGAAAGTCAAACCCTGACTGCCATCCTGGCAATCAGGGTAAAGCTCTGAGCTGTCCCTGCTGGCAAATGTCACATCAATACCATGCCAATCTTTGGGTGATCAAGAATTTTCAAGTATCCAATTCAGGTAAAGCAAATGTTTTGTTTTACATTATGTTTGACTGAGTTTAAATCATAAAAACAACAATTTGAAGATCTTCAGGTTTGGTCACACACAGTTTTATATGTGACTAACTTCCCTCCTCACCCTGTAGTCAAGGAGATGTGACTAACTACATACTTAGACTGGGCTCTGTTGAGGATGCACTCCTTCCAGACTCGATGGACCATGTGATTGTGGAGTTTAGGAGGGATCTTCCTGGATCTCTTTGGACTGTGCATAGTTATCATCCCCCCATCCTGGGAACTGAGGTGACTGGCAGCACTCGGCATGCCTCCACTTTCACCTGGAAAGAAAGTACAATTAGAACAGGATTTGCCACAAATGCATGTGTACATAGATTGTTGAATATTTTACCTGCCAAAACTCACATTTGTGAAGCTTTGTCTCCTATCCCCTGGCAATAACACTATATGTGGGGATAAGAAAATCCTCCCTGCAACCTCTCCTCGCCAGACAACACACCACTAACCAACTAATATCATCTTGCCTGAGTCTGTGTGGTTTGTCATGTTCTCCCTAAAGCAGCAGACCTGATAAACATGTACATGTACAAGCCACCTGGGAAGACACACAGAGGCATCTCGCCCCATATGTTTTAGACGCAGCTTTACTTATAGGGAAGAGATCATGATTGTAATACTAAAAATGCAAACATACATTACTTGTCCTAAGTTTAGAAACTAAACACAATTAGTACATTTTGAAGCAGAAAGAGAAGCAGAGGCAGCTCTGTGTTCATTCAACTAGACAGCTGTGTAATAAAAGCTCACGGCACCCAAGCAAGAGGAAGAACTCATCAGCACACTGGTGTGGGGAACTGCTTGCCTGACTCCCAATCTGAGCTACCCAAGCTTAGCACTAACACACTGAAAGAGACTGTCTCCACCTTCTGTCAGCAGAGGGAGACTCACTGGCTTCTTTCAAGTGCATCCAGTTTACTTCCTCCACCCTGTTGATGGGTGACCCATTCCTTCTGGCCACAGCCACTATCATGGCACTGGTAACTAAAGCTCTTACCAGCCTAAAAGCAATGTCCAGTCAATTAAATGGCTCCCTCTTATTTAGGCCATGGGCTCTGTTCTCAACAAAATATGTTGACCAAAAAGCCAATGGAGACTCTGGAAAATCTGTACTCCTATCTTGACGATATTAAAGTTTCCCTTATAATACAAATTATTCTCCATGATGACTTCATCAAAGCCAGTATTTTGTGAGATGATTCCGTCTATCCCCACAAAAAACAACAAAACAAAAGCAGCAAATACCAATATTTTAAACAGTTGAAGCCTTCTCTCCACCCCCACCCCAAAGCATTAGCAGTGCAAGTGGACACATTTCACTAATATCTTTTTAAAAAAAAAAATCCATACTTGGTCACCATGCAAAAAAAAAAAAAAAAAAAAATCATTTTATTTTCCAACAGTTCTTTTTTTAAGTGTCTGTACTAAAAACTAGACAAATCATCAAAGTAGATAACAAGACTCAAATGTCCATGGCAATGCTGTGAGTGCAAGATGAGAGTTCTTCATGGGAGTGGAAGCAGCTGTCTCTGGTTTTCTAGGCATCCAAAAGAGGCAAAAAGAGATAGCCGCTCAGAGGACACAGTGACCTCAGCAACACTAGGCAGCCCCGCTGACCTATCAGAAGAGCTCTTGGCAGCCAGGAACAAGGCAGCCTGCTCTAGGAGAGCGGCCAACAGGCAACGCTGCAGTGGACAATGAAGACACTGCTGGGCTATCCTAAACTATTTGTACGGCGAGACATTTGGACTCGTTCATTTGACCACAAAGATATGAGACCCTTCAGACGGTTTCAGAGATGAGGAACAGTGGGAGATTATCTCCCCAAGGTCAGTGCAGTACAATACAGAGAGTGAAGGGGGAAGAAAGTGAAGATCCAGGGCTATGAAAGCCATAACAAGACTCATCAGACAAACTCTTGCTTTTGAAGTGTGAGCTTCAGCATTCTGAAGTGACTGGAGGTCAAGGCACCACATATGCAGCAGACATTTGATTTTAAAGTTAACACAATCTCACTAAGGATCTGGGGGGAAAGCTGATAATCAGATAAACTAAAACTGTCAAAAATTTAAAGTAGGGCAATTGTTAAGAATAAAATTTTTTAAGTAAAATTTAAATAATTCAAAATACTGATAGGGCCTTTACAGCAATATAGCTTCACTATATTTATATGGACTAGGAGCACTACAAGAGACAAGGAAGATTTTCTTTTTCAATTTAGTTATAATAAAAATTGGTCAAGGACTAACTCTTTCAGGAAGGATCGTGCCGACACTCTGCTCTAAGAGTCCTGCGTGCAGTCTTGCCTGAGCTGGGGATGACGTGCTGCTCCACGAGCGCCACAAGTAAAATGCTTGCGTTTCATCTCTGCACACCTTCCTACATACTGTGAGCCATCCCTGAATTCCCTAGAACACGTGCGTGCCAGCAGATTTCCAATTAAGACACGTTGACAAGAGCCAAGAGTGTTAACACAGAAACTCTGGCACTCAACAAAGTCGATAAAACTGTTCTAACTTCAAGCAACCTCTCCATTTTGCATGAATGAGTTTGTGTGTGAATTGTCAAATGTTTGCATCAGAGGGCAGATCACTGCAGGACACAGTACCAACTCAGAGCTATCCTAATCTTGTCGTGTAATGGAAAAGAAATCATTGCATATTTGTCCTCAGGTAGTAACTGTCAGCTGGGCAAAGTTTCCAACCATCCCTTGTCCAGTCCTCATGACAGTTAACTTAACTGTCAACCTAACTGGACTAGGCAACACTTCCAGGGCCTAACTGTAAGGCACTTCCAGAGACAATTAGCTCTGAATGAAGCAAAGGATTAATCCCTCCAAGTTCACAGGGTGGCAGTGAAGCTGGGGCCTGGCTGGAGAAACAGAAAGCTGGGGATGTGTCTTGGGACTGCAGTCTTGCCCTGGCCACTTGCTCTATGTTCTTTTTACTTTTTAGTCAACAAGAAGTAAAAAAAACTGCCTCCCATGTCTCCCCCCACCACAACGTTCTGTCCAAATGCATGCAGCCCTGCAATGGTGGGCCGACCCTGTGGAACTGTGAGTCACACAAATCCTTTCTCCCCCAAGGGCTTCTCTCAGGCATTTGGCCACAGTGACACAAACAAAGCTGACAGAGTATTTGCCATCTGCTTAAAAAAGGAACAGGAACAGGCAACCCACATATGGTTCCCCGTCCGTGTGCAGAAACGTGGACATAAGTGTGCCGGGGTAAGTGTATAGGCAGAACTAAGGAATGAGCCAACACTGCCCTTAGAATAAAGATGAAGATGGCACAGGTACAATTCTGAAATGCCTCCATTCTGCTTTCCCACAGTCCTACCTCTCCCATTTCAACCACTTCCACCAAGAAATCTGCCATGCTGCTGGCGGGTTGGGAATCCTTCCCAGGAACATGCTCAGTTACACTCACCTATAACCACCTGCTCTGGAGAGGTGGGAGGTGTCAAAGGCATCCCACAGTTACTGGGGTCTTTCACACTACCCAGCCCCTGCTGCGTAGCTGAGACATGGCCTCCAGCACTGGTACCACTCTGAGCGACAGGGATATCATTCTGAGAGATCAACACCAAAGCTGAAGGGTAGACCATCCGAACACCTCCTGTAAAAAAAGATAGCAAGGAGCAAGCCTGAGAAAAATGTCTGCACACCCAAATCCACTGCCACAGTTACCAGATCAACAGGAAATAAAGCCCTGCCACAAGCATGCCTACTTGAACATGTGTCCCAGAGTTGCCATGACAGCACTGGAGCACGGGGCATGGGGAGCAGGGGAAGCACAAGGCACTGGGAGCATGGAGCACAGATATAGAGATTCTCTGTTGTCCCCTCTTTAAATTAACAATAGAGCTAGAATAAAATTCTCCAAGCAAATGCTTTCTTACCAACAATGACTTCAACTGCCACGGGGAAGTCGTCGTCATATTCTAGCTCAGCCTCCTCTCGAGGCTCCTCCTTCTTCCTCAACACCATCGGGTAGAAACACTGCCATTCCTCAATCAGCTTGCGGGCGGCTGGGTCAGACATCTTGTATGCATGCCCTGTTAGCGTGCCATTTAAGCCATAAGGACTCACCAGTACTATGGAGAGGAGAGACAATTATGACATGTAATCTAATAGATTTGGTCATTTTAGGTGAAAACAGTACACTGCTTCACACCCTTTGCTTTAAAGTCTTTCACAGTCTTTAAGTTTACTTTAGAATTCTTTATGTGTATTTTAATTACATCAATTTTTAAAAAAATAAGTAGGGATACCATTACATTTTCAGTTCTATCAACATAAAGCATATAAACCATCTGCACATTAAAATACATGCCTATCTACTCAATAATGGCTATTCAAAATGAATAGCACATCTGGCATGGACACCCAGGTCTGACTAGCAATTGGACACTGATGTGGATCCTGGGACCCCTTCACAAGTCATAATAAAAGAATAATAGGTAATATACAGAATATGTAATAACAACAATAAAACTACTGGCAGCGTATCTTAATGCTCAGAGCTTGAAGCACAAAGCCTACTTGTGAGTTTGGTGTGGCCGTTTTAAGGAATCATGATGAACATTTTCATTCGGTGTTCAACTCCACTATGGAGCTGACAATAGTTCTGTTTTCTTTCAGTCTTGAAACGGACATCATTTTGGTGGGGTTGGAAACAAAGTACAGTTACTATGGCACTTAAACTGTGCCCTATGAGTAAATCTTCCGAATAATCCTCTCCAGGGGGCTGGATAACCCAGAGAGCGGGAAGTGCCCTTCCCTTTGGCTTTGTAAAGGCCAAATGCATGTGTAAAGCCTTACGTGTGCACATGTATGCCATGAGCCTGGAGAGCAGAGATCAGTATCAGATGTCTTCTTCAGACATCTCTGTCTTTTAAATTAATTTGTGCATTCAAATATGGAGGTTAGAGGACAAGCTGTAGGAGTCCATTCTCTCCTTCTACTACCTGTGTCCCAGGGGTTAAATTCATGGTGCTTATTAGCAGGTTCCTTACCCGCTGAGCCATTTTACTGGATCTCCACCATATTGGAAGAGACAAGGCCAATATGAAGGCAACACATCTGGCCAGACTGGCTGCTGGCCAGAGTGCCTCAGGAATCTGCCAGTCTCAGCTCCCCAGCACTGGGGCTGCAGGTGCGTCACAGCCAGCTCTTACCTGATGCTGGAACACACACTCAGGCCCCGGTGCTTGTGTGAGCCGTATTCCCAAAGTTAGCCTTAATTCAATATGCAGCTGAGCCTGGCCTGGAATTCCCCACCCTTCTGCCTCTACCCTCCTAAAGCTGGGATTACTGGTACGTTGCCACCACACCTGGTAGGGCGCCTTTTTTTTTTTTTTATCAGCTTTAAAAAAAAGTTAAAGAATTTCTCTATTGGTATTTATTCATTTCCCACATTCCTAAGTTTTATAAAGACAAAGTTCTTTCACGTGTACCAAATCCACCCCCAACCATTTTTTAAAGCAATTGGATAATGTGTTTCAAGAGGGAAGAGAGATATAGCTGACTGAAAAGACCTGGTCTCTAATCTCTAGGGTCCTGGAGTCCTAATACTATCTTTCCCAACTTCCAAGGTTACAAAGTTACTTATCTTCTCTCTCTCTCTTCCCTTTTGACCTTGATATCATCATAAATACTTTTATTTTAAGTAATAACACTGAAGATGAGGTCAGGTGTTCTTCTACATTTTCAAACTCAAATAAACAAGTATTTAAACAAATCTGGCAATTCATAATAGCACATGCTATGTAACATTTAGTGTGTGCTTTGAGAACTGGGTTGTTTTAAACTTTGTATGAATTTTAGTTTTTGTTTGTTTGCTTGTTTTGGGGTGTGTGTGTGTGTCTCTGTGTGTGGTTTTCCAATACAGGCTTTCTCTGTGTGGGTTCTGGCTGTCCTGGAGCTCAGAGATCCACTTGCCTCTGCTTCCCACATGCTGGGATTAAAGGCGTGCCAGCACTACCCAGCTGTAAAAATTTCATGGTTTTATGGTTTAACAAAATGGAAGTGATGATGAAGAAGGTGGCACGGCTATTTCTTGGTTAAGACTTATGGCCAGGTAAAATAATCCAAGGTCTCTTCACACTTAAGGTGGGCTTATCTTTATTAATTCAATAATAAATCAGAACGTATGTCGGGTGGGGACTATTACATTCTGTATGCCATGTCTTTTTCAGCGAGACATTTCTAGAAATCATAAATTAGACTGATCCCAAAAGAATTTTTCATGGCTTTTAACTTTAAAAACTATTATTCATTGAAAATCTTGAATTTGTAAGATTAAGATATATATTTAGAATGCTTAGTGGAATCAAACGACATAGTTATTTTGGAATACAAGACGGTTAAGATAATAAGTGATGAAGCTAACAATGTGTAAAGTCAAGTTATAACCAGAAACCTATCCATATTGTGCAATTAAAAGGAAATAATGCTGACATTAGTGTCATTGAAGAAACTAAACTAGTACAGACTCAGGAAATTCAGTTCTCATTGGAAAGCAGTCATCTTGGTCAGTTACTTCACTGCAGAACCTTGTTAGCAGACACAACTATAGTCCTTTCACTTGTGTATTCAATGGCCTGGAGAATACGGCCTTCAATGCTAGCCAATCCTATTTTGTTCTGAAAGGATTACACAGCTTTACTAAGCCCATGTTATACAGGAGCTTACCTGAAAGGCCATTAACTGTTCATGTGTACCTTTAATCCACCTGTTTAAGCCAACACCCCCTCCCTCGACACCCCACCCCCCCTTCCTGCAACACCCCGTTGGGTGAGGCAGCTACCCACTTAGTTGGTGGCACTGGTGCAGGGTAAGAGCAAGCGGTGGCCTCTGACTGACCTTGAAATGGTGCAGGTGAAGACTGAGCCATGTGTAAATGCTCCTCACTGATCAAGTAGATCGGCTGGTGCTGAGCGATCTCCACACTTGTGCACACGTTACTTTCTCCATGAAGAAAGAATGTGAAAGCGCAGGACAAATGCTCACTGAAAGCAGAAGAACAGGAGATTTTAGTGTCCTGCTTGGCAGGACGCAGTGCTGGGCAGTACCTGGCCGCAGCTCCGCCCTCCTGGCCATGCAGCCAAGCTGCCTCTCATCTGCTGGGGACAAACAGCAGCCTCCAGTTGATAGTGCTGCAATACAAAGCAGGTGTGTTAGTTCCTAACCCCCACAGGTGCTCTGCAGAATGTCCCCTATTCGCACATGAAGCTCCCTTGTAAGCTAGAGACAGGGGAGACCATAGGGCCTCCTGCACAGCGAGCACTCAAACCCTATTAGCTCAGGAAAAGAGGAAACAGAAATTTTAAAAATTTTGAAAAGTGGATTATGAACAAGATCAAAAGCAATGGTGTAGAAATTCTATCCCATTAGAGATAACAAAATGGTTTTGCTTATTTGGGGTACAGTGTAACAAAAATGTCACATTTACAGTTTGGGGCATTATAGAGAATTAAAGTTATTGGTTTATAAGGTATGGAGTAGGCTAGCACATACCTGCCACCTGAGCACGTGGGAGTCTGAGGCAGGAAGACCTACCAGGTTCTGCGTCAGCCTGGACTACAGTGAGATACCATTTTACAACAAAGCAGGAAGAGAGAACTGTGCTCTCACCACAACGTGCTGAGGCAGTCTCCATGTGATGCAAGGGTGTATCTACCTTACCAACTATTTTTACAATTTACATTTTCTTTATCTATGCACTTATTTATTGAGATGGGTCCTGCTATGCTGCTCAAACTAGCCTTAAACTTAAAATCCTCCTGCCTCAGTCTCCCAAGTAGCTGGGACCACAGATATATGTCACTCTGTCTCACATATAACTGATCTCAGGTCATGGAGATCCACTCAGGTCAAGCAATCCACTTCTCCACTTTGCACACAATGAACAAAAAACTTGACTTTTAAAAATGAGGTGTCACGGGGAAAAAAATTACTACAGTGCCATATTCTTTCAAAGTTGTTAAGTTTGGCCCTGAGCCAGCAGTAATACACTCATTCCTCAAAGTGCTCCTAAGAACATTTGCCTAGGAGCCAGAATCACAGCACCAAAGCAGGCACCTCTGGGAAGCAGCTCCTGTTCACAGGGTCTCCAAATAAGTAAAACACTCCTCAGGAGACGAAGTCTTGTTTCAAGTATAAAAGGATTACGCCTTACAGATCACTACCACAAAGGGAAACACACGCTTCTGTCTGACAAGCGTGCACACACCCACTGGTGTCGTGTGCTTTACTAAGAATATGGAGTTCTGTCAATAGGATGCATTTGGTCTTGGAAGTAGATGTTTGGCAGAACACAGCAAAGGCATGGCTTATTTTGAGGATATTTTTTTTTTTCAAACACTTACAAGGCTTGTTGATAACCATACATCTAAATTTCAAGTTCACACACAAAAGGAACATGTTTAAAGCTCTAAAATAGTAAAAATGGCTATCCTTAAAACAAAACAAAACAAAACAGTAATTAGAATCACGAACTGTATCTAGTACACCACAGAACTGAAACAGTTTTACTGGCCTTGGATTGGCTATCTTTCAGCCAATGGGCTGGGCTGGCTCATCCTACACACACCCATTCTTCTCAGGGGACCACAGTTTATAAGAAACTGGTGGGAGTCACAGTGTACAGCACAGCTCTACTATCAAGTGCATGAAAATGAATTCAACCAGCCTTTAGCTAGCAAGCATGAAGCGTGTGCAGAGTTTAAAGGGCTCCTTACCCTACAAGACACCAGCTCAGGAGCACAGAAACACAAGTAAGCCAGATACAAACACAGAAGGAAGTACAATCAAAGCACCCAGGCAAGTGCTCCCAAGACAAGGAAATAAGCCAGCAGAGCACTTCAGGAGCAGGTGCAAAGGCTTGCGAGTGAGAGTGAAACAAGGAGCAGATGCGGGCATGAGCAGAGGGGCATTTGCAAAGTCTACACACAGAAAAGGTGTGAGGCCCCAAAAAGGAGACATTTCTTAAAAGGGAAAGCTACTGACAGACTCAACCAAAAGATTAGTGAGTGGAAAACAACAGAGTCCCATGTATTTGTTTTTGAAAAGTTGGCTGACTGAAAAAACTGTTACATGAATGTCAAACAGTATTCATTTGCATTTTGTCCACACCCCACATAGAACAGAGAAGCATGAATTTAAAAAAAAAAAAAAACACTAATCAAACATTTATTTTTACTATTGATTATTTTAAAAGTAAAACGTCTTTTTTTGATTTTTGTTTTTCAAGACAGGGTTTCTCTGTGTATGTAGCCTTGGCTGTCCTGGACATGTCTTGTTGACCAGGCTCAACCACGGTGATCTGATTGCTGGGATTAAAGGCATGCACCACGATGACCAGCTCTAAAAGCAAATGTCTTTATAAAAGAGGTAACTAAAGTAAAGCAAGAAAAGTAGAAGAAGAAGTTCAGAGGAAACACCTAGCGGCCAAGTGGCTGTGCTCTGCTGGCAGTCTGCTGCATCTCTGAGGATGCTTTTGTCATCTGCAAAGCAACTGTAGGCACAGACTATTGCCTTCAGAGGCTCCATTCTGCTACCACCTAAACGATCAGACTGACGAGGGCACTCTCCAGTGGAAACTGTTATGAGGGAGAAAAGGTTTTGAAATAGTGCAGATAATGTATCTGCTTCTGCCAAGTGAAAAGGGAGGGGAGAGGGGAGCTTGTGCACACACGGTTTGCTTATACACTCATAAAATTGCTCTGGGAAGATACACTTTAAAAGCTTAGCCACTTGCCAAAGCCATAAGGTGAGTGAAAGAGATAATTCACAGTATCCTTTTATATCTCTGGATACCTGCCTTATGCCACAGCTGAGGTAAGATCAGAGAGGTTCTGCTTCTTGCTCCTGTTGTGTGTGAACACTGTCTGTGAGCCTTCATTCTGTCCCCTTTGGCTCTTAAGTGACTCCTGCTGAGATTGCAAGTCACCTGATGCTCTGGTCATTTGGTCGGCAAACCACATGTATCTTTATTCATGGCACTGCTAAAATGGTGGGGAAGACCACACTGATAAAAGTCTGTGTCATGTCATCAGGTAATCCCGAGTCACAGTGAACTGGTGTGCCGCTGCCCACTCACCCCTATCTCCAAAGATGCACATATACACCAGTCTCAGCACTTACCCTAGACACACAAATACAATCTAGGCCGTCTCCTACAAAGGGACCTCCCTACTCTCCCAGAAGTGACAGGGTGAAAACTATTTGAGTTTTAAGGCATTCACACAGACACAGCTGCAATCAGACTTGGAAGTCAATGTTGTTCCTATTAGCTGGCTCATATATACATGGCTATTCACTTAGATTCCTACTATCTGGTGTATTGTTTATGTAACGTGAGATCATATTTGTGAGTCAGCAGTGAAAACACAGGACCATACCAATACAACTAGATGCACAGGATACTGTAGGAAAGTAGTTTAGGGTTGGGCATTCTCATGTATTTATCTTACGTGTGTTTGCCTGCATGGGTTTATGTATGTGCATGGGTCTTCAGAGGCCGGAAGAGGGCTCTGGAGCCCTGGAGTTGGAGTTACAGGGTTGTCATTCTCCATGTGGTGGCTTGGAACCAGACAAGAGAAGCAAGATTAACTTGGGAGCCATCTCTTTTGCCTCTCAGGATATTTTTATTCATAACAAACTCAGGAAGGTGAGAGGAGTAGATGAGAAAAGGAAGCAAGAAAGGCAGGCAGGAAGAATGGTAGTATAGAAGAGTTCTAAGTCCGTGTGACTGGCTGAGCTATTCGTTTTATTTTTGTTTCTTTAGAAGCTTTTTCTAATCCTCTCTTTCTCCCCCTCCTTGCTGCACACACGCATACATGATAATGTGTGTTCCCATGTGTGCAGAGACATGGGTGCTGCCTGTTCTCCATCACACTCTGCTCTGTTCCTTTAGGCAGTGTCTCCCTCAAAGCTGGCAGCTAGCAAGCCCCCCCCCCGTCCATCCTCCTGCCTGTGTCCCACCTCCCCAACATACAAACATCCTGGGGTTACAAGTGTACAAGGCCACACCAGCTTAATCTCTGCTGTTGGGATCCCAACTCGGGTCCTCATATTCTGGATCACTGAGCCACCTTGGGGCCCTGAGTTTTGTTTTTCACAAGTCATATTCAAGGAAAACCATGGCCACTGGGAAGCACTCGTACCAGTCTTACATAAAATGTGTTTTTTGTATTTTCTGTATGTCTTAAGAAAAATTGTGTAATGTTTGAAAAGTAGAAGCATGAAATGTTGAAATAATTATATGGAGTTTATTCATGAACTATCATTCTAAGTGCCTTGATGCTATTGATGAGACAATGTATTGAGCTGTTTTAAAAGTAAGAGATAAACTTCTTTCACGTGCAGAGTGCAGCCCGACTCAGAGGGCAGCTGCAGGCCTCAGCCCCTGCCGCCAAGGGCACTTTGCTAAGTATGGTGCAGAGTACTCCCCCAAAGCGTCTTTTTATTCCAAGCTACAAAGAAGTCTTCAAAACCATCTGTTTCAAAGGATCTCCTGGTAAATCTGGCAGTGTGGTCTGTGGAAGGTCCTCACCTCTTCATCATACTGTGGTGTCCCTAGATATCAGTGTTTTAAGTAACACGTTCGAGTGTCTCCAGAAAAACCAGTGTACAGGTGTGTAAATACAAACGGTGTGGTGTGAGGAAGCCTGCCCACTCAAGTGCTCGCTACCCCTCCCTCCCGGCACATCACCACTCAGCCTCCAGCTGGACCACTGCACACCCCTGGGCTGGCACCGCATGCATCACGCCTGGGTCTAGCCCTGATGCTCTGCCCTTCCATTCTTTATCTTTTCCATTCAAAGTAATGTCAAAACCAAATATGGTCCAGTACTTCTGTGTGCCCCAGCCAGAGGGCTTCTGGCTGAGATGTCCCACTGCTGTCTGAGTTGAGTTTTGAGCCAGGGATCACACCTGTCACTGGCTGCACTTAGATGGGTTTGATGTGGACAGAAAATGAATAAACATTTAATTTTGTTTGTGATAT